TTCGCTTCGTCCCATTTCACACTGACGACGAGCAGCAGGGGCTAACCAGCGAGACTACTTACATCTGTACAGATCTGTAGTTAGTTAGTCTTCCTCATGCCGGACTTGAACAGCCCTGAGCAAGCGCCCGTAGCGGCCGCGTCAGAAACAACCAACCGCATTCCCTCCACCCCACACGAATAGCGAGCGACCAACAACTGACTAGCCGCGACCCCATGGGCCGGCTGGCGAATATGCAGCCTGCCTGTCCCGCAACGGCGGATCGTCCGCTTGCGCTTCTTCGCATGGCATAGCGTGGAGAGGACGCGCCTAACCGCCGCCGCAACGCCGCCGGCTGCTGTGCCGCCTGCCGGTCGGCGGGGTGCGACAGTGAGCAGGAACACGGCACGCGGATTGCGGAGAGCATGGAACATTTCTGGAACCATTACTCCGTACACGACCTCCCTTTCTCCTATCCCTGGTAGAGAGAATCGCGTGGTGGAAGGGGGCTCAAAGCGGCCGTTGGGGCGTGAAAAGCGAGCGTGGTATTGCGTCCAAGCGGAAGGGCTGGAAGAGGGAGAGTTCGTTCCCCGGGGCCAGGGTGGGCGGACTCAAAGCCTGGTTGGGCAGTTGGTGATCGACTGCGATAGTGCTTCGTAATAACGTGCGCCCGGCAATCAAAGCGGTGTTGTTTGGTCATTCCCTATGCACGATCCTTCCGCCCTACCTCGGTCAGGATTTAGCCTGACTTGGGCCACGCCATCTCGTGCGCCAACACCAGCCAGTGGCAGATTTCGTTCTAGGCTGATCCAAGGCAAGGAGCCCGCGTGCGGTGATGCTTTATGAGCTCAGCCGAAGAGACGCGTTTTGGACTGGGCGACGCCATGATGATGCACGTTCTAACCAGAAAGTGAGTAGCCTCTTGGGTTGTGAATCCGTTGGGCTGGTTCTTGGGATCTCCAAGTAGCCGTGCTGTTGCAACCTTGAGAGTGTCAGGCGGCTGTGGGGCCAATCGCGCAGGGGTTCTACTACCCTTCTTTCTTGCGGGCCACACCTTATCCCAAACCGGGCCGCTGACGCCTGGCCCCCAGGGACAGAACACGGGAACCATGACCAAGAACGTGCAAGATCAGAGGTGGGTGCGTGGCAACCATCCAATTTGGCCAATGCCGCGTGAGAGTGGACAAGAAGGTCTTCGAGGTTGGGGGCCGCAGGAATCGCAATGGTGCCCGCGGTGTGACGCGGGTAGGCTGACGGTGGCCGCGGATGCGACCGAAGGGGGGTTCTCTGATGCGCAGCTGCATTGCACTTGGTGGTCCGATTGACCACGAGACCGCCGAAGCCATTTGTTCGCGAGAGTGTCAGTATTTGGTAATGTAGGCAAATGGCGCGACCGGGAGGGGAAGATCTTCCCTCACCTTCCCGACCTCTGAGGTCACACAGCCCATGGTCTGCTCGCCGTTGGGGTCTCGGGGAGACGAAGGAGAGGTCTCAATAAGGACCTTCAACCCCTGACGACGGCCAGGCTAATCTCGCAACCTGGAAACCTTGAATGTTCAGTGATTGGACAAGCAGGCCTCCTGTGCGCTGGCCATTGGCCTCCTTCAAGCCGGGATGGCGGAGAGACCCGCCCGCTAGTTTGTTGTTCTCTCGTGTCTGTGCACACATGGGTGAGCGACTTTTGGTGGTTGTGCTTTTCTGTCAGGATCATGAACGAAACCCCATCATCAACAAAAAATAATAATAATATAAATAAAATAAAAAAAGTCAACTCTCCTTGCGTGCCACAGGATGTCGAGTCTCTCGCCCCCACAGCCCTGCCGAGATTGCGGGATGCAGGTCTTGGTGGGTGACCGACAAACTAAACCAACGCAGTCCCACCGCGGGCGGTCATCTGTCCACCGAAGTCGTCGATTGACTCGGAGCAGGCTCCATAGCTATGCGAGGGGCGTGACATCGTCTGGGACCGAGAGGGAATTACACAGTCATCCTTCGCATCCAATAGGGTCTGGATTCTGCTGTGCGACGTCGGACCGTAGGGCTCAGCATGACTGCAGCTTGGTTCATTGATGAGTGGCCCGTAAACGCGACGCTGTGTCCCCGTAGCCCTACGAAACGGGAGCAAAAGGCAGCATTTTTCGTTAATTTGAACGACGGGCCCTCATGACCCAATCGCGTGGTTTTGTGGGAGGGTGAGATGCTGTGTGTCCGGGTCAGCCGCTTTCCGAACGAAAGCATGGAGGTCCCTTCCAGGTTTTGGCCGGTCAGCAGAGAGGGCAGTCGTGGGGTTTGTTTCTCGGCCCTGGAAGGAACCATGCAGTCAGAGTACTCGCCTAGCTGCAGTCGCAACCAGGGAGGATTTTTAGGTGAAGCGGATGGAAGGAGCCAAGCCATCTCTATCTGCAGCCTTGAATTCGCACGTCTTTCCCGATTCCTTCCCGCTCCGGCCGCGACGAATAAGACGAACGCATCGTGCAGGACTCAGGTCGAGTCTGTCCGTTGGATGAGATGCCGGTCAGACTCGGAGCAAAGTGCAATGCGTGCTGCGGGTTGGCTTCGATTCAGTTTAGTTTGTTGATCCGGCACTTGCACCGGCTTTAGTTCCCTTCTCCCTCGCCCAAAGGAAAGCGGCCCGGGGACCACGGGATGCTTTGGACCAGGGAAGGAAGAGCGAACGATTCCAGGTAGGCCCCGTTGGTGCGCTCATCTTTTGTCATTGTTGGTGGAGTGTGTGATTAACGTTAGCGTCCAAGGGCCGGCCCATGCCAAGCGTGGAGTTGGGAGATTAGCGTCGGGTGCTGGGCCGTTCGCCGCGAAGAGCGGAGCGGATGGTGCGGCACAGGCCAGGGCCCGGTGCTGAATCCGATCGCTGAAGAAATCGGGCTCATCGTCGTTTTAGCGTCGTGGCGGATGCGGGTTGAGATTGGGGATCAAGATGGATGCGAGAAAGATGCGAGAAACTTCATGGTTTTTTTCTTCTCGAGAGAAGCTAGCTAATGCCGTTCCTTTCCGGCCCGGTCTAGTAGTGTACTGTAGTAGTAGCAGTAGGATACACCCAAGTGTACAATGGGGATTTCCCTCATGACAACAGAAAAAAAAAAGAAGAAAGATAGAAATGTTGCAGAAAGATCGAAGCCACCTGTTGCCTCCAGTTTGGGGCCTTGGTCCCCCCCAAAGCCTCCCAATGTATCCTATCGTAGCCAAAACACCACCCTCGTGCCCATGATTTCCCCGTATCGCGTACATTATTCATACAGTGCGTGCAAAAGAAAATAAACAGAAAATGAAGGGAAAAAAATGAAGGAAATAAAACTCAAAACCCGTCTTGTACCCGAGACGCCTCCTTGGTATCTACCCAGAGAATGTGTGAAATATGTCCAATCAGAAAAAAGGGTTGGTAGGAGATGACAGTTTTTGCGCCATCACCGCCCCCAGCTGTGCCCTTGGGAGTGATCACCCCCCGCGAGGGATTCCCTGGGGCGCATAGAAGGGGCCATGGAGCCGAGCATGCCGGGGCCGCAGAGCGGAGGGATGCCAATGGGCGGAAGTCTCCCTGATGGCGCCATCATGTGGCCCATGGGAGCCATGGAGCGCGCACTGGCGTGCATGTTGTCATATCCGGCCTCGGCGCGGAGGTCCATGGTGCCGATATCAAATCTCTTGGAGCAGCCGTCTTCCATGTGTCTAAGGGGAGCCGGGTTAGTAAAACTGACTTATGACTTTGGGCTTCTTGGTGGGATTGTTAAGCTTACCTCCTCAGAGTGTCTTTGCGCGCAAACATGCGAGTGCAGAAGTCGCACTTGTGCGTGCGCTCCCGGAGGTGCACGCTCTGGTGGTGACGCTGGAGGTCGGTCTTGCGGACGAACTTCTTGCTGCAGTCGGGCACCTGGCACGGGAACGGGTACTCGCGCTTCTCGTCGTGAGTCTCCATGTGCGCCTTGAAGTTGTAGCTGCGGCTAAATAGCTTGCCACAGCCCTTGACCTCGCACTGGAAGTTGGCCTCCTCCTTGGTCGTCAGACGGCGCGGCGCCCTCTTCGGCCGCGTCACCCGGTACTGCCTCCTGGCGTCGTGCATAAAAGCCGACGGCGGCGGCGGCGGCGGCCCCGGGTAGAAGTGCTCGGGCTCCATCGGCTGGTACTCGGGCTTGTGCCACGCTGCCGACCCGCTGTCAGAGAGGTACCCGGTCGAGGTGCTGCCGGTGTACGGGCCATTGTCGGAAGTGTAAGAGGTGTGGATTGATCTCGGCGAAGGGTAGTGGGACCCATCGGTGCTCTGGCTGTAGTCCGAAGTGCCCTCCATCTTGACCCGCGGAGTCATGGGAGCGGGGACTGAAGTGGCCGGCGTGTAGGGCGTCCTCATCGGCGCCGGAGACCTGGGGGCGGAGGCAGTCGGCGGAGGCGTGGAGGCGTGGATCGAGGGCGGGTGGCTCGTCGGGTGTGTCTGGTAGACATCATGGCTGTACTGGTAGCCCCCAAAGGTGTCGTAGTCCCCCGAGAGGATGCTGGGCATGCTGGACGCGGAGGAGATGGGGTGGATGACGGTCGTGGTGTTCCAGTCCGGGTGGCCCATCGAGTCCAAGGGCGGGAGAGAGAGCTCGGGGTCCATGGGCGGGGTCACGCAGGACTGATCCCCGTATATCGTGGAGATCTTGTACTGCTGTTCTACCAGGCCCGGCGAAGGGTAGTCAAGCGAGGACCTCTCGGAGGGGCAGTAAGTATTCGCGGGGGACGAGGGCGACCTGGTGAGGGCGGGCGGCGGGGTGTGCTCCATTGTGGATGTTGTGGATATGTTGTGCTCGGGGTGGCCCGGCTTATTTATTTGGGTGATGGGGGACAGGCGGCCCTGTGCAAGATAGGGGGGGTGGGTAAGAAAAGCTGGCGGCGTAAGAGTGCCGTCGATGTTTGTTGGAGTCCGATTGGTGGTCAACCGCTTCGAGGTAGTCACCAGAGGAGGAGGGGGGAGCAGGCCAGATATAGACGGCCGGCAGAGTGGTCGTCAGAGCCTTCCAGGTATTCAAGTGAATGCGAAGCACTGCAACATAAAGATCCAAGCTCGTCAAGAGGAAGAATCTCGCGTCACAACTTGAGATGAATGTGCGGCAAGCTGTTGGAGCGAAAGGATGAGTGTGTTTGACAAGGCAGACAACCGGGGGTTTCTTATAAGATTTGTAAATGAATGAGATTTCTGCCTGGCTAATAATGGTATCTCAAGACGCGTTCCCGCTCTTCGAGAGCTGGGGGCTAGAGGAGATGCATCTTGGGGACTCAGAACCTGACCGGGAACAGGGGTGCGCAGCTAGCGAAGCAGGACGGCGACCAGGACCAGGATCTCTGGCTGCCATGGGCGAGGGGGGTGCACTGGTGGGGCCAAGGTCAGCACCAACCCTGCCCTGGAGACGTGATGCGAACAAGGCTGGCGGACACCATCCCGATGGGGAAGGATCTGGTCGTACAGGCCATTGGCAGCCTCCGCGATGCGGTTAGTGTGAGATGTTGGGGGCTCAGAGAGGTGTGGCTGGGGCGACAGAAGTCCAAGGGGGGGGGTGTGGTGAGAGAGATTCCTCGGACCAAAAAGGTGATTTCAGGAAAATAGAAACGCTACACCACGTTGGGAGCAGTGTGTCTCAAGGGGAGCAGGGGTAGTCTAAAAGTAGCCAGGGTAGGGGAGTGAGCCCCTGCGCAGCACCCTGGCTCAAGCTGTTGGATCCCGTTTCCAGCTTTGGTGGAGCACTTCCCCAACGAGCGAGACCCCCTCCTCTCCTGGGCAGGACTCACAAAAGGGTACAGATGTACTTCGTACTTCGTCCGTCGAGGTTTTGGACAGTCTGCGGGGTCCGTTGGCAGGGGCCGCTGACCAGTCACACGAGAGCCAGCTGCACCACCCAGGTGCGAACGCTGCAACTCCAGCGTAACGATGGGTTTTGATTCGGGCTTCTGGCGGGGCATCTCGGCGACTGAGAGTGAGCATGGGAACCCGCTGCAGGGCCTCGGGAGCGCGGTGGTATTCAGACGGGCCTGAAGCAAAGATACGGGCCCGTCGGCATCCTAAGGTTTCTGATGCATGCCGAAAACGGCGGAAGGGAGAGGGCATAACGACGTTTATTCAGCAGCCTGATGTCGAGGTGCTGCTGCGCAACAGCCGGTCCATGCTGGCCTTGTCTTCAACCGTCCCGGCGGTAGGCGTCCCAAGAATGAGGTCGAGAGCAGAAGGACCAGGGCCACCTATGCGGTTGGCTGCACCAGTCCAGGCGGCCGTGCTGCGCAGGCACACACTCGGTACGGGCCTGGACATGCAGATCCTGATGGGGCCCAAGGTACCGCTCCTGTCGCATGGTCCAGAGAGAGGTGTGGGGGAGGCGAGCGCTTGCGCCTGCCGGCCGCGCTTGTGAGTGGCTTCGCCGCCGGTTCTGATCGGGGGCGTTTTCTTCACTAGCGCGGATCGGGCTATTGTTCAGAGTCGGGATCAAGATCCCCATTATGTCTCTTGTGCGACTCCTGAACTGTGACACGGAATGAGCAAGGACGCTATCAAAGCCACTCGATGACTTCTACACGGTACTGTATAGTGTAGTAGGAGGAGGGGGTTTCGGGAACCTCGGTACTGAGACAACGGAGGAATTCGAGTGGGATGATGTGAACTGGTTTCTGTCAGGGGTAACGGCTTTCTCAAGGAGGAGTGCGGCCGCGGATAAGTGAGGGGACTTTTTTGGTACCCGAGTATTTGCTCGCTAGCGGATGCATGGCGAGGTTGCCGGATTGTCCTTCACGCTGTGGATTATTGGCCCCCACCTACCTATCTTGCTTGGCGTAAAATTCCATATTCTAGGTGTCGTAGGTCATCGAATTGCGCGCAATACTTGCTAAGTGTGATTTTCCTCTCCTCAAAGAGTTTTTTTTCTTCCTTTTTCTGTCGTTGTTTCTCTTTTCCGGTTGATGCGATGGGTCATCTTTCATTAAACCTGCGAGGGGAAGAGCTGACGGGGAGATGGATGATTGTGGAATCTGGCAGGGACAGATCGGGCGGGGATGCGAGAGATGCCCCACTCGCTTGGCCATCGCAACTGCTCAAATGTGTATTTTGATTTGCCAGGTTTACGTTGCTGCGCGTTGTGCCTGCCGTTTGCGAAACTGCGGCCGTTTGCCGATTTCCCTCCCGTGCAAGTGCTCATCATGCAATGCATGGTGCTTCCTTATCGGGCTCTTTTCGTGAGCAGTGAATTCTAATCTTTGAGTCGGCCCCAATGAGCCATTTGAGTTATCGACAAGGTGTTCTGCAGCACTGACCAGGCGTTGTCAACCCACATCCGCATGCGCTCGCCTGCAGTATCCACTGCGGAGACGCTAGGGCCTGCTTCGGTGCCGTTTGGCGCGCCGTTCCCGTCCGGCCCTGGCTGTTCCTGGACGGATGGGCACCGCTCAGGAACACGCCGTTGGCCATCGGCACATGGGCCCTCCCGCTTCTTCCTAGCACGCCGCCCATTCCATTCTGCTCTGGTGATGCAGTCTCGGCGCTGAGATGTGTGCTGATGGGCTTTCGGACGCCCCGCTTGTTTGCGGAAGCACAGAGAGCCAATGATGGCTCTCCGTCCGCTCTTGAATTGTGCGATGTGGTAAGCCCCACCCCCGCACATCAGGTTAGGGACCTCCACAGCCTCGAGATGCTCGAGTGCTCACCTAGGCAGCGACTTTCCGAACACGCTCCGTCGGATTAGTGGGCATTGTCTTACAGAATGCGAGCCAAAGCTGATGGCAGACAAAGCTACCGAGACTGGTTGACCAAAACTTGGACAAATCGGAGAGTTCACTTGCACCTGACTACTTTAGTGTCATGGAATGTCTCCGCTAAGGGAAGATTGCAGCCAAAACCCACCGGCGGGCTTTGTGTTACAATTCTCACCTAACATCGGGTGCCCAGACAAAACATAAAACAAGACAGGAATACCTCAGCTATGGGCCCATGACCCGCGATGCGGGACTCTGGAGTTGGAAGGATTCCTAAAAAAACTGGAAGACCGCTCTGAATTTGAAACACGGCATCTTATGGCGTCGGCAGGGCTTTGTGCGGCACTGCACACTTAAAATCCTGGGGTGGAGCATGGCCTGCTGCGCCGGGCCCTGGACCGCCAAGCTGGAGGACTGTTGGGCAGGACTGCTCGATGGTGAGTGGCCGCCCTATCCAGCTTCGGGATCAGGTTCGACTCCGTTGACGTCGAAGGAATCGGCGTTCGGCTGTGCGAGGGTGCTGAATCGATGGATTCCAAAAATGGGTAACCTTCATGCACAACACTCTGGATTGAAACATTTGGAATCCCCCACGGCTCACTTAAGAGCTGCTGAATCAGGAATCACTTACCTGAAAGCTATTTGGACATCCATTGTGAGGGGTGTCCGGGGAAAAGCCGGAGACGGGAAAACAGGCATCAACAATGGAAGCTAGCAGATAGCCGACAGAGTCCCAAGTCCATGCAGTACAGATACACGTGTAGTTGGCGTTGGCAGTGGTAGCATCTGAAGAGATCCTGCCCCTAGTAACTTGGTCAATTGCGAAGTTACATCCATACTTCCCGCTGAAACCGCCGTCCCCGCCGGTGGCAATTCCCCCGGACGGCAGCGAGCGAGACCTGCGCAACCCGAGCCACCGGGGCGCTTGTCTTGGCAGGGCCGGAAGTGGTCAGTGCCTTCGGCCGAGTTTCTTCGAAGCCCGATCTGCGATCAAGAGATGAAGAGTCGAAACGGGCGTGGGGTACAAAGTACATACGCAACATATAGGTACTTGCGCCAACTATACGAGTAAAAATGCTACTTTGATACGAAGAAGACTGCAGTACCTAATCAAATGTCTTTTTCTTTCTCTTTTTGGACATTCTTTAGAGCAAAAAACTCAGTACTCAGCGCCATGCGAGGATCAAGTGTCCCCACCTTCCATGATCGTACTCGCCCCGCTTCCCCGGTTTAGCGCACGAACCAAACGCCAAGCATTCACCGGAGCCACCCACAAATCCTTGGAAATCTTGAATCCAGATGCTCAATCAGCAACATTGGCTCGTCTTCGCTCGTTTCTCTCTTTCCTTTTTCTCTCTCGGAAAACGGACTGTAGATACACCGAAACAGAACACAATGACGAGGACTCTCTGATACTCGCGATATGAAGACTTCTCTTTATGGTTCACTATCGCAATATCGACCACCGCCTCACTGCGCCTCAGCACCTTAAATCCTTCACCGCGAGCGGCATTCCATCGGCATGCAGCGTTTCCAGGAACGGGGGCCGGTTGGTCGATGCAACCCCAAGGACGAGTGCAAAACGTTGCACCAAGAGGATTCTCCCAAAATTGGCCCAAGAAATACTGCGCGCAGACGCGGGCAAGGGCAGCTCACATGGTCGCAGCACTGTAACGGTTGGTGTCCACAACGACTCTTTGAGCTCCACCTCTTCCTGGTCCCGGATTCCTCAAGTGCCCGCTCACACGTGCAAAGGCTGCAGCTTCGCATCTTGTCAGAAAAGGGAGCTTTTCGGGAGCGCTCGCTTATCCGCGCCAGCAATACCCAAATTGGGACGGAAAATTACACCTGACTCAGGCGTCCGAGACATTCTGACCACCCTTTTGGCAGTTCACCATCTCAATTGGGCGAGCGCTGTTGGTGATGGGGTGAGGTCAGCACTTGGCCCAACAATAGTTGCTGTCGCTGCATCTCCAATGAGATTGGACACCTAGGACAGCCGGCGCGAGCCGTCGAAATTGTCAAGCAGGCACATCACCAACACCAACAACCCTCGGTGACATTCCCAGCGTGTGGGCCCAGCCCCCAAGAACTGTACGAAACGAGCTGTCTCTCTCGCCACACCCACAAGGAAAAATACCAAAAGCCCCAATTCGCCGACCATTCTGAAAAGACCGACGAGCTGGGTTGATTAATCGGCGATGATACTGGTTCCCATGCCCGAGCATGCGAAGTGCAACACTGCACTACCACACGACCCCACGCACCCAAGGCATCGATTTTGAGACCATGGCCAGAGGCTTGTACTCAGGTATTTACCCCTCTTCGAAAGGGCGAGCACAGCCACCGAAACGTCCTGAGGGTGGGGGGGAACCGATCGTCAGAAGCGGGAGAAGCGCAGCGCAGCATCTCATCAGGTTGTTGGACGCAATATCCGCCGACTGCGCACACGGACCACGCGGGAGCTAGGCTCGTAGCGTGGAGATGAAACAGCCGACCAAGAATCTGGATTACGCCATCGAATGTTGAGCGCCTTCCCAGTTGGGCGCGCACCTCATCGCGTTTATCTCACGCTAACACCCCAAGCTATCCCCAAACCAGGGGAGGGGTGGGCAAAATTGAGGAACGGGTCACATCGGGCTGACCCACAATGCGCGGATTTTGCCCAAATATAGATTGAGATAGATGAGATGCTGATTGGAGGGCGGCTATTCAACCCACTATCAACTCCCCACCAGCACCACCACAAGCACTACCTTGGAGACAACCCCAAAGCCCGAAGCTATTTCCGTGTCCTTTGCAGTCAGCCAAGGTGTGGCTGATGATGTGATGAACTTTCCAGCTTGTTTCATGAAACATCTTAGTCTCCAACACCAAGGATACGGTTACACGTGAGGAATTAGCTTTTTTTACTTCTTTTTACCTCGAATGGGCCAGAACATGGACATGCAGCCAGCAGCAACGCCAAATTCTGGTTGGACCCGGCGGTGCTGATTGAGCATACGATCTTGGAGGGGAGGGGCTCGATGACGTGAACTCACAACCAACTAGTGCAATTCTTGCTCTCATTTCCCCATGGTATTTGCGAACGCCCACTTGGGAATTTTAGCCCATTTCATTCGACCGACTCTCAAGCCACACAAGTACTGGCTGGCACACTGCAGTATCTGATCTCTCCCCCATCTCTCTTTTCCGGCCCCCATCCGACCACACCCCCCCCCTACACAGTTAGCCAGCCAGCCTCATGATCAGCACATGCACGCACCCTCGCTAAAGACCAGCGGCCCGCCAGCACGGCCCAACTCTTGTTGGTTCTGCTGGTGCCTTGTCAAGTCCCAGCATAGCATGGCAGCACAAGCAGCACAGACATCTCCCCCCACCACCACCACCTGTACGAAGTATGATCCAACCATTTGGCCCCCGTCCCCCGTCCCCCGTCCCCCGTCCCCCGTTCACCGGTCAGTCGACGAGGGCCGGGGTAAGGTTGTGGGGGGGATGAATGAGACACGCAGCACGCAGCACGCAACACGCAGCACCGACGAGAATGGCCGGCAGCCTCGTGGGCACAAGTCGGGGATCTGTGTCAGCAACTCAAGCCACTCAAGCCATGTGGCTTTTCGGCGTTTTTTTACTTTTTACTTTTTTCCTCATCGAGAAGGAGCCTGGCCCCTTGGCGTATCTTGGGGGTTATCTGGGTTCGGCACTCGCCCCCAGCACCATCGCACTGTGCCTCAGCCCTCATGCAGTCGCCGTGTTTTAAGTCTGAAGTTGACGGTTGGTGATGGAGGTGGGTTTTTACTCATCCAAGCTGAATCATCGTGAGACCGGACAAGGCCGGACAAGACATAACGAGACATTGTTGCTGCTGCTGCAGCCGCCAACACCGACAACCAAAGCAACCAACCCAACACAACGCGGGGGCGTGACCGGTGCCGAGTGCAGTAGTGATGTTCATGCTTGACTAAAAGCCGAGCAACAAGCTAAGGCACGCGCAATGTTCGAAACGAAACAAGTGTGACGTGACGAGTCTATTTTTGTCTCTTCAGAATCGAGTACCGGCCGCTCGTTGCCGTGTGCAAAAAGGCCGTTCCCGTCGGAGCAAGATCCGCTCCTTCTACCAACAACGCCGAGTACCGACCAACACCAGGTTTTACTCGGGCTGAATCGGTCGGGAGCCAGGTGGAAAGCAAGCGGTGGGGAAAATCTAGATCGGATCCGACTGCGCCGAGTTCCCCCGCATTCGGGATTGTTTCAGATATCGACAGAGAGAGCACAGCCCAATGCCAGAATCTGGCTGCCTGGCGTGAGTGTGGCTGCCACCACCGCTGCTACCACCGCTGCCACCACCACACTGCTCGAGATGATCAAGAGCGACAAGGGAAAAGGACATGTGGGGGCCGGCACTGGAGGGCAAAAAGTCCCCTGGCTCCGATCCTCGCGTGGCAGCGCCCGCGGCCGGGATGTTGTCGATCTCGCGCAACGGCCCAATGGGTGGGCGAATTTTGCCCACCTTCCCCACCCCCCGTTGCCCACCTTCACAGTTTTGCCTCTTCCCCCACCCCGCACCAAAGTTGGTTAACTCGGTGCCTGCGGCTAATCTGCAAGGACGTGCAAGGGTAGTGTGGCTTAAACAGCCGCCCACAAGCGCAGCCTTCCCGGTGAATATATGCCTGGCGAATGGGAGGACTCGAATTCCCGTGTGGAAGTGCGGGCTGTGTCGAGCTTATGGTGCAGATGGCCCAACCCCGTCACTTGTTGTTTTCCGCCCCGCCTAGCTTCGCGATATTGTATACTAGAAGTAGAGGTTAATGTCTCCCCCTCGTTCTCGTTTAACATGAGCGGGAAGGACCTGTCCCGGCTCTCCTCCGCCGGAAGTGGGAGTGTCCTGCGGCCGTCCAACGTCGGATCCGAAGAGCGAGTGTGATACTCTTGATCGGCCTGCCCGTGGGAGCGTCGTAGTAGGATTGAGCCCTTCCTCTCCCTTCCTATCCCGAAGCCCTCTCCCTTCCAAGGCTCGGGTGGAGAATGACGAAATATTGATCACGATGGGATATTGGAAACGAGACGGGCAAAGGGCCTATCGGATCCCCGGATCCTCACCCTGACGCCACGGCAACGGGCGAGAATTACGTACCGATGAGTTATCAAGATGGGAAGCACGGGATCACCGAGCCAGCCAGATCTCGTCTCTCCAGCTCCTCAGCCGCACCCCTGCGTTTGTCCGTTGCGTCCTTGGGAGAGTCTTCTCGAAGGCTTCCATGCATGCTCTGCGCCGTCGACGTGCTTGTCGCAACTCGCTGAAACCCCATCCGGCCAGTGATATCCCCGACCGGCAGGTCAGACTTCCAGTCTGACGCCCTCATACGAGGGGCTGGAAATGAAATGGACACCACCATCTCGAGCTGTTTTGTGGTGTTGAGGTAACACACCCTATGCAGGCCCGCGGCGTGGACGTTGGCGGGCTGGCCAGTTGGAGAGGGGCGTTGGCGGGGCGTGTGGGATTCGAGTCTTGGTGCCAGGAACGGGTAACGCCCTGCTCGGCATGTTTTGAAACAAGCGATCCTCGAGGGAATCTTCGCCGTTGGCTGCAGAAACATGCACAATACAGACTCACGCCGGTGGAGATAGGTCGGCGAGGCGTGCTAAAAACAGATGCGTTTGAAACAAATCTGAGGAATACTCCGGTGAAATCGCCGTTCAGCTGTTGGGCTGGCTCTTACTATACCGACGCGGTCAACGTAGCGTACATTGGTCGCCTCAGGATTGTTTCCGCGGGGTCGGGACGCGGGCAGACAGGGCGACCGTTCCACCACGTGGGGATCTGCCCCGGAACCGGACAACAGTTGACGGCGCGACGGGCACAGGGGCGGACAGGCCGAGGCGGTCGCTCTGAAGGGCATGGGGTCGGGGACCGCTGGGCGCGATGCTACCCGCATATGATGAGGGTGTGGTCGGCATCCGGTATTGCCGCCGCTCGTCTCCCCATCTCGTCGTCTTTTGGTTACACCTGCCCGCAACCCTAACCACGACGCTCCCCGCGACCATCAGCCCGCGCAAAAATGACCCTTAACCAGCGTGGACCTGGAGGCCCAGTGCAACGCGGGGCGGGACAATTAATGGGCCGGTGATGGTGGATTGCCTGGAGCATCTAGAAGGTTTCCACGGTCAGAAGCGAGGCACTTGCAGCAGGTCCCGCCAGTGTTGCAACGCACCGTCCGGGGCGGGAAGCAAAGTATCGGAGCTGGAGCGTGGTTGGTCGAAGAGGTCAGGCTGGGGCGGATCGGTATTGCCGTCAAGTTTCCCACTCTGGAGCCACTGCATCGGTCCTGTGTGATAACAAAAGAGAAGCCCGAACGCGCTGTGATAGGCGACCGCGACGCTGTCTCAATTAGATAGTCGCCGACCTGGGGCAGGTGTCGCATGAGAGCAACATCCTCGTGTGCCGCGTGCCGTGGTTGCAGAGTGGGAGCGCAACAAAACACAACGGTCGAACCGTTTGTCGATGGTTTTTGGCTCAGCAGGAAAAGGGCCAATTTTAAATTTTGATGTTTTGGTTGAAGTTAGTTTGGTAAGAGCACAGAGCATCTGCCGACTTTGGTGTCTACCGCCAAGACTTGATGTTCGGTACCAGGGCTGTTCACCGAGGTGTTTACGGATTACATGATTACAGAGAGCAACCACACCGAACTTTGAACAAAGCTTTGACCCATCTTGAACTTCAAAGTCGTCGTCGCAGGCAGCAACTGCACGTGATCTTCAACTTCAACCATCAACCGAGACTCTTGTTTCGCGACTTATCAAGGCAAACCATCATAACATTTGACCCAATAGGGAGAGTGTGATTGAATGGGGAAAAACATTGCGCAAAAGCTCGTATTGTAATTCAGGTCTGCAAGCGGCCAAGGAGAGACTGCTCACCGCAAAACGAGTGCGGATGACCCAGTTCGGGAAAAGCCTAGAACAAGGCGTCCCAGTTCGGCGATAGAGCATCGCCTGTGGTTTTCATCAAGTCGCTCGTTCATCATCAAATAGACGGCCAAAATGGAGTTCAACATCGAGTACGCCCATCCCAAACATGACATGCGCATCCTTCCGTTCCTTGTGGTTAACATGGCGACAGCGACCTGCCCGTTCTTTTCCCTTACCCGCGTATCTACCCAGGCAAGTTACTCCATTGGATTGCCAGACTGTACTATCGTGTTACATTGCTGACACGGTGTTAGAGCAATATGCGTACGTGTGAGCCTGGCCATAGTGCCGCCATGGTATTGTGTGAATTTGGCTGACCTGAATATTGCTCTGTCCCAGCTATATGGTGGACTTGAAAAGTGAGTATCTCCAAAACAAAAACTGTCCATTATTCCCTAGTCTGTGGTTAACATACTTTAGAAACTCTCGATGCCGGGGGAAACTGCGTGCTGGAGATGCCTTCGGGCACAGGGAAGACCGTCACCCTGCTGTCTCTCATCGTGGCATATCAGCAGTATTATCCTTCACACCGCAAGCTCATATACTGCTCTCGTACGCGACTCAATATCTTACAACCTAGGATACCTTGCAGGACGTGGCTAATTGTCTTCCTAGGGACAATGTCCGAGATCGAAAAGGCGCTGGTCGAGCTGAAGGCTTTGATGAAATTCCGTACTGAACGGCTCGGGCACGAGGAGGAGTTCCGGGGCCTCGGCCTCACCAGTCGAAAGAATCTCTGTCTGCACCCGTCTGTCAGACGGGAAAAGAGCGGTAACGTCGTCGATGCACGGTGCCGCAGTCTCACGGCTGGTTTCGTCAAGGAGAAGAAAGAGAAGGGGGAGGATGTCGAGGTTTGCGTCTACCACGACGTGAGGACAGCCACATCTCGATCCACGCCTTACATATATGCTGATCTACCCATTAGAACCTAGATCTCCTCGAATCGCACAACCTCATACCTAATGGCGTCTGGACATTGGATGGCCTGCTGCGGTATGGCGAGGAACACAAACAGTGCCCTTACTTCACTGCTCGGCGGATGGTGTGTACAGTTTAAAGCGTACAACGACAAATACTGACGTGATTCTAGATGCAATACTGTAACGTCATCATCTACTCATACCATTATCTCCTCGACCCTAAGATTGCCGAGCGCGTCTCCAAGGACTTATCCAAGGACTGTATCGTGGTGTTTGACGAAGCCCACAATATCGATAATGTCTGTATCGAGTCCCTAAGCACAGACATCACCGATGACTCGTTAAGGAGAGCTACGCGAGGTGCTCAAAACCTAGAAAACAAAATCAATGAGATGAGGGACTCGGACAAGCAGAAGTTACAGGATGAGTACGAGAAGCTTGTGGAGGGCCTCAGAGGCGCCGACGACGGACGCCAGGAAGACTCTTTTATGGCGAATCCTAGTAGGTCCTAACTTGAGTTATGGGCTATTTACGCACGCTCACTCTTTGGCCTAGCTCTCCCCGATGACTTACTGAAGGAGGCCGTGCCCGGCAATATCAGGAGGGCGGAGCACTTTGTAGCATTCCTCAGGAGGTTCATCGAATACCTCAAGGTCAGTAGCTTCGTTGATGGCCATTGGATCGCCAACATGTTGTACTAACTGCTATAGACGAGGATGAAAGTCCGCCAGGTGATATCGGAAACACCCCCCTCCTTCCTATCACATCTCAAAGAGCACACCTTCATCGAGAAGAAACCTCTGCGGTTTTGTGCGGAGCGGTTGACCTCGTTGGTGAGGACGCTCGAGCTCACAAACATCGAGGATTACCAACCACTACAAGAAGTCGCCACATTCGCGACCCTGGTGGCCACCTACGAGAAGGGCTTCCTTCTGATCCTAGAGCCGTTCGAGTCCGACACAGCAGAGGTGCCCAACCCGGTTCTTCACTTCACCTGCTTGGATGCCGCCATCGCCATCAAGCCCGTGTTTGACCGCTTCAGCTCCGTTGTCATAACCTCGGGAACCATGTCACCGCTGGAGATGTACCCCAAGATGCTCGACTTCCCCACCGTCGTTCAGGAATCGTACAGCATGACGCTGGCGAGGCGATCCTTCCTACCCATGATCGTCACTCGGGGAAGCGATCAGGCGTCCATATCCACCAGCTTCCAGGTCCGCAACGAGCCCAGCGTGGTCCGGAACTACGGCAGCCTCCTGACCGAGTTCGCCAAGATCACACCCGACGGCCTGGTCGTCTTCTTCCCCTCGTACCTCTACATGGAGTCCATCATCAGCATGTGGCAGGGCATGGGCATCCTCGACGAGGTCTGGAAATACAAGCTCATCCTCGTAGAGACACCGGACGCGCAGGAGACGTCGCTCGCGCTGGAGACGTACCGCACGGCGTGCTGCAACGGGCGGGGCGCGGTGCTGCTCTGCGTGGCGCGCGGCAAGGTCTCGGAGGGCATCGACTTCGACCACCAGTACGGGCGCACGGTGCTGTGCATCGGGGTGCCGTTCCAGTACACCGAGTCGCGGATCCTCAAGGCGCGGCTCGAGTTCCTGCGCGAGACGTACCGCATCCGCGAGAACGATTTCCTCTCCTTCGACGCCATGCGCCACGCCGCCCAGTGCCTGGGCCGCGTGCTCCGCGGCAAGGACGACTATGGCCTCATGGTGCTCGCCGACCGCCGCTTCCAGAAGAAGCGCGCCCAGCTGCCCAAGTGGATCAACCAGGCCCTGCTCGACGCCGACGTCAACCTGAGCACCGACATGGCCGTCAGCAGCGCCCGCCGCTTCCTGCGCACCATGGCCCAGCCCTTCCGCGCCAAGGACCAGGAGGGCATCAGCACCTGGAGCATGGACGACCTGCCGTCAGCACCAGGAGAAGATGGAACGAGGACCGCATCCAAGGAGCTGGCAGGCGGAGCAGGAGCGGGAGCAGAACCCCGCGCTGGCCGCCCAGGTGGCGGCGCGGAACGGGCGCGAGAGCGATTACGAGATGGACGACGATGACGAGGCGGAGATGATGGCGCTGGATAACGATGCCTGAGGGTGAGTTGGTGGTAGTCGACTTGTCGTGGTACTAGGTAGGATAATGCACCATTCAACGAACACAAAAGGGCGTAGAGAATAAAGGGGCGATGGAACCAGAACACTCCTCGGTTATGATCTACTCGTCTATCTCAAGGGTATCTATTAATAAAGAGGAGTTTGTCTATCCATGATAGTCCATACGCCAGCACGGCTGTGGCCTGACCAAGTATAAAATCCTGCTTCTACGTAGTCCTTAAACACCACTCCAAAATCCGGACCCATCCATCCCACACACAAATCCCAACCAACGCCATGCTACTGTAATAATACCAACCCACCCAAGCCCATACCAAACAAACAAACAAACAAAATAACCAACCCATAAACCCACCATCCCATACCACACCACGCCCAAAAAGAAAAAAGAAAAAAGGAAAAAAATAACACCACTAAACCTGCCCCCCAAACCGCCCCTTCACCTTCACCGCGCGCATCGCGGCCAGGGCATGGTCCCGGCCCGGCACGCGACCGATCTCGACGCACAGCAGGCGGATCAGGTCCTGGTTGGTCCAGTAGCTGGTGTGGGCGCTGAGCATGTTGAGGTACTGCATCTCGAGGGGCCCGCCGCCCGAGCGCAGGTAGTAGTCGATCTGGCCGTTGTCGTTGAGCAGGAAGGCCTTGCGTTCGGCCACCTCCTCGCGCGAGAAGTCGTGCACTTCGAGCTCGAGCTGCGAGGGCAGGCGGGCAAAGTGCGGCGGTTTGATGGCGTGCAAGCCGTTGTGGCTGCCGGTGGTGGGTGGCGGTTGTGTTGGTGGTGGTGGTGCCGCCGCTGGAGCCGGTCAGGCCGCGGAGGACGGCGCCGCCGACGGATTTGAAGAAGGAGGTGCTGACGCTGGGCACGTAGGCGACTTTGAGGCCGGCCGCGTAGACGGGGTCGATGGCGCCGTTGAGAAGGTAGGCGATAGGGTCTTCTTTTGCGAGGATGTTGTAGATATTGTCGACGGCGATGCAGCCAAACACGCCCACATCGGCGACCACGTCCTTGGCCACCGTGTCTGCAACGTCGGCGCCTGGTTTAAGGCGTCCCCGTCGCGGTACTAGGCCGCCACGGTCAAGGAGGAGGAAGAAGCCGGCCGGGCTACCCAGCAGGAAGAGGTTTGTGGTGTCGAACTCGAAGAAACGCGTGTCCGGGCCTGGGGTGGAGAGGTCCAGCGGCCGGGGGACCCGCGTGGGTTGTTTAGAGAGGACTTCGATAGCCATGGCGCTGCCGAGGGAGTGCGCGATGAGGTGGACGCGGCCTTTCTCGGAGAAGCCTGGGTTGTTGCTGCACCAGAGGCGGTAGACGCGGTTGGCCTCGCCGACGAGAGCGGCTATCATCTTGGGTTTGAGGTGGGACATGTAATAGGGAATGTCGAACATGACATCCGAGATCATACTCCGCACCGCCGGGATCGTGGGCGGCTCGATGTCTTTCAGAGTGAAACCCTCGGGAGAGTAGGCTGTTCTGTCCTCTTCACTGGCGGGGTTGTTGTCATCGAAACTCAGGAGATGACGCCAGTTGACCGGCAACACCATAATCCCGTTTTGCTCTGGTCGGAGGACGGATTTAACGGTCGGGGTCTCGAGTTCGATGTTAATATCTCTCCGGAAAGCGTTGACCGCATGGGTGAAGTGAAAGCTCTCGACACGCTCGGATAGCTTTTGGCCAATGCCATGGGCAATAAGGACGAGATCGGTGACCTGGCCCCGGTTCTTGTCCACCTGGCATCCTGGGCAGCCGCCCTGCTCGGCAGTCTGGCGCAGCTCTGCCGCCGGAGTCGCAGGCGTTGTGTTCTTGCTGCGCGAAGCCGCCCCTTTGTCGTTCACCCGTTCCCAAACCGCCCGGTCGAATCCACGGACGACAGGCAGCCCGACGGCCGTGCCCTTCATAATCTTGGATATAGGTCTTCGGTTATAATAGGCCGACGGCTTCTGGCTCGGCTTCAGTAAAAATGCAGCTGATCCATCTTTGTAGATGACATAGGACCTCGAGTACATTCTGGACTCGGGGGGCGGGAGGGCGGTGTCTTCCTCGGAGTGGACCGGCTCCAGCGACCCTTCGGTGGCAGCCTCTCCGCGGAAACACCTGGCAGCGCAGAAGGGGTCGGTGGATATCGGCGGTTCCGGTGGCAGGCCGTCTTTACTCTTTTGCCGCTTGTCGGTGACCTCGGGCCACAAGCGGTGAGATACCTTTTCCTCACCAAGCGGGCCGACGTCGAGTGCGGATCTCAGCTCATCGCCCCATGTCTCCGTCCACGGTCGAAGCTCGCGGTAACCAGCCTCTAATTGGTTTGCGACGCTGGGCTCAACGGGTACCATGGTGTCCCTACAAATGGGATTAGCCGGTGCGTTTGAGTGTTTCCCATCAACCAACGGGCTTACCTATAAAACCAAGTTGCCCTCAAGACGGTGGCGATATCATTGACAGGAGACCAATAGATCGGCTTCATCTGGAGCACCGGGAGGGAGACCATGTGCAGCCTCGAGATACCGACCGGCACCTCAACCGAATCCTCCAGCCGCTCGGCGGCGGTTGGCCGTCCACGCGCAGATGCTCTGCTGTCACCTCTGGCCCTACCTCGAAGCACATTCCTCGCCGCCGCCTTATCATCCGGAGTGCCCACGCCAGACGATCGATTGGACCTTGGCGCCGACTCCACCCGCACGAAGGGCTTCCCCGAGATACCATCATCCAGCACCGGCGGCCGGGCCGGAATATACCCCGCAACCGGTAGGCTCGACGCCAGCGGGGCGCCATCCACCGGCGGCGTCGGCGACCTGGCCCCAAGACTCCCAACATGCAGCGCCGGACTGGTACCCAGCGCCCAGCCGACTTCATGTGCGGGTTTCGCCCCCTCCGCCTCCATCCTCAACCGCGCCAACTGCGCCATCACGCCCTCCAACACGCGATCATGGTCCAAAATCTGCTGTCTCCGCCTCGTCACCGCACAAAACTCCCTCCTCAACTCGGCCGACGCGTCAATCGCCAGCTCAGCACAACAAACCGGCACCCCGCCACCGCCCGGCGCTGTCCCCACATCCCCATCCACCGCACCGGCACCCGCAAGCGGCCCTACAACCTGCCCCTCCCTCTCATGCTTCTCCCTATGCTTCCCCGCCAGCGCCGCCACGATCCCCGCCAACTTCTCCGCATTCTCCCTCTCCAGCGCCGAGCTGGGACTCGGGCTGCGGTCGCGGCGGGCGTGGGCGTGGTTGCGGCGGTCGCGGTCCGAGGCCAGGCCCAGCCAGGCGCGCTCGAGGGCGGCGTTGTCGGCGGCGGCGAAGGGCCGCAGCGGCAGCTGCTTCTTGGCGGCAGGCCGCCGCGCGTCGGCCGCCGAGCCCGCGATGGTGGCGGCTGAGAGGGGGTCGTCGATCGGGATGGGCGAGGCGTAGAAGAATTGTGCGTGCAGGGGCGGGATGCCGTCGAGGCCTGCGGTGGGGGGTGGGGAGGGGATGGGCGCGAGGCGGCAGGGTGGGGTGAGGGTGTGCTGGGTGGTGGTGGGTGTCGGGGTGGTTGTCGTGGGGGTGGTCATGGTGGCGGGTCCTGGGGAGAGGTTGGGGTGGTTAGTTGGATTGGTATGCTGGGAGAGGAAGTTGAATTGTAGTTGTCGCGTATGACTGGTTGTCAAGAAGGGAACATTGAATTCATTGGTGTTGCGGGGACATACAGATCTGTAATTCGTCTTGCAACTGGTTCAGTGGTCGGCACCAACGATCGAGCATAGGCAGCTTCACACCGCCCGTCGACTTGTCAACTAGAGTAACGACATAAGGGGTGTATTTGGTTCTGAGGTTAAGCGGAATGTTTCGTTGGTGCAAATAGCTGAAGTGCAAAGTGTCGGGAATTGGTCCGAGACATGGCGAGGAAGAAGCCGGATCGACCTTAGGATGGGAATCTGTTGAGGAAGGAAGCCTTATTGTCTGGTTGGACGTCAGGCTGATGACGTGGTTAGCCTACCTGCAGCGCCAGTGGATGCCTGCCGCTAGGAAATTAATTACAGCGTGTCCCATTCGCCGCCCTGCCGTGGGGACTCATGCCAGGCATTAAAACGTGCCAAAATGACGGGATAATTCAGGTGCCATGCGACCTTCAGTGGTCCACAGCGCATGCTTCTATTTTCTGGGCACTCAGGCACCTCAGGGCAGCCGTTTGGATAATGGCCGATCATTGTGGAGTTCCTTGTGCATAATGAACCCTAACCCTGTGTAGTCGACACAGCCATCACTCACTCACATACATCTCTCATTCCCATCCATCCAAACCCATCTCTCACCAACAATCCCCATTATCAATCATCATCAACCCTCCTCCCCATCCAAACCTCCACCCCCAAAAACCCCACATACCCCCCCAGCATCACCCAGCCCATCCACCTCCTCCCCCCCAAAACCACCACCCCCAAAACCACCACCGCCGCCCCCCACACAACCACCACCTCAAACCCCGTAAACCCCCCCGCCAACGCCTCCCCCTCCCCGGCTAGAAACAGCACCCCCGCACACAGCGTCACCAGAAAGATATTCGACCCGACCGTATTCGCCACCAGGATCCCGGGCTGCTTGCGCATGCCGCCGAGCACGGCGACGACCTTCTCGGGCAGCGTGGTGGCCAGCGAGAGTATGGTTGCGCCGACGGCCGTGGAGGAGAGGGAGAGCGCGCGCCCGAGCGTCGAGGCGCTGTGCGCGACCACGTAGCTGGAGAGGAGGAGCGCGCCGAGGCTGAGGGTGAGGTGCAGGAGGTGGTAGCGGAGGGATTTGCGTGCGCGGTGGTGGTGGGTGGGGTGGTGTTTGAGTTTGGGATTGGTGCGAGAGGGGCGGAGGAGGGTGAGTTGGTGGCCTTGTTCTGGGTCGTCGTCCTCTGCTGGGGAGTGCTGGGGGGTGGCTAGGTGGGGGTGGTTGTGGTGGCTTGAGGTGCGGCTGCGTTGGCTGTTGTCATCACGACTGCCCTTATCGCTGTCACTGTCCCCGTCTTCGGCCTCGGTGTCGCTGTCGTTGTTGTCGTCGCTATCGCTATCCGAGTCATTCTCGGGAGCGGTCAAAGCGCCCCGGTAGATGAGATATGCCACGGACCCGATGTAGACGATAAAGAGGACTATCAGTAACGAGCCGGTAAACCACTGGGGGATCGCCTTGATCGAGGCAAGAAGGATTATGAACAGCGAGGTGGCTCCTAGTAGAATGGTGGTGTAGATCTTGGAGCTGCGGTCGAACTCGACTTGGTTCATGAAAAGGAGGCCCAGAGAGAAAGACGACAGGATATTGGCTATTGACGAGCCGATGATATTTCCGAGTGCGAGATTCGAGTTCTTCTGACCCAAAGCCACGGCAACAACAACAAGCTGGGACGGTCAGTAACATGGTTTGACTTTGTGGTGGCATTTATCAACTTACCTCCTCCCACTCGGCGCCGCAAGTAAGCAGCCCAATGAGAGTAGGGGACACATTCAACCGCTCTGCCACGATGGCCGTGTGGTCAATGAACTTGTCAGCTCCATATTGGAGGAGGAATAGACCCGCAATGAAAGCTGCAATGTTGAACACGAGGGTATCACCGTCGGCCATAATGAGTGGCAGCGGGGAACCCTCGGGGTAAAATATTCACGCAGAATCATGTAAGCATATACCGAAGTATGTGAAGCATGTGGAGTTGCATTGTACATATGAGGGGTTCAATTGAGCCGGTTCCGGCAGCACAGCCCTGTCTCCCTTGACTCGGGCAGAAGAACAACAGCAATGTCTCAGACTAACCACAGAGCTCCTATCTATTACCTGTCTTTCTATTCCGTGGTTTATTATATCACCCCACCTTCCCTCCATTGCGACTTAATTTTAGCTAAGAAGGTATACCTTGGTTTCTTATTTTCTCCTCCGTTCTTTTAACCTGAAAGTCCTCTCAAGTCCATAGTGCCGTCTTGGGGGGTTTACAGTCGCTGCTTCATGACAAACAATGCCTATCTAAGATTATTAACGCTGGGCCAAACATTCCAAAAAGCACAAAAACAGGCCTACTATACAGCACACAAACAGGTACATGTCGTTACATGACACTCCCCTGGGCTCGAGTCCCTCGGGCTAACCAAACTCCCGTTTCCATCCCATCCTCAACCTACCTCCCCGCGCTCCTTCCCGCCATCCCAACTCTGACCCGTTCACGCTAGATATACGAGTTCCACGTGCTCGATTGTCACCCACCCCCCAAGTACCGCCACGGGTGCCGCAGCAGTTTCAACTTGGGGAGTAGTGAGGTACATCACGGGTTCGAGACGTGGTCTCTACCTACGACGAAAAATCACCCGGGGTTTTCGTAGCCGCCTACCCCTCAGTTGCGTGGTAACTAAGGTTAGACGGTGAGCTTTTTGTGTTTCCTTCTTTCTGGATTTATTTTTGGATTTGAGTCTGTCGCCGCCGTTTTTCGAACCATGGGGTTGTGCCAACCCAAGGAAGGGTATGCCCTTGCATTAATGACACCAGATGAGATAATCCTACCTAAGCTTAAGAAGGGGGGCCGAAGCATGGCCGATGATTTCATCGAGAGCCAGTCTAGTGTCTTAACGCCACTGGTAGCATGTGTCAAGAATCAGCACATGAGCCTAAGGTCGCCGGGTGGCATGGTCTCCCTCCATCTTGGTATTAGGCCAACGTTTTCGTCTTTCCCGCAACACCGCAGTAAAGCCCATCGACTGAAGGCTTGTAGTGGCCCCAGACCTCCTCAGTCTGTCCCCCACCTTTACCAAAACCGAAGTATAACTTACTTCAGCAGTTAGCAGGCCGGTGTGGATATCTTCGAGGTAGATGATGTTGCCCCGGACATGTTCGACACGCATGCCCCCTTTCTCTCATTCGCTGGCAACAAAATTCCTCATCCTTCCAAACCCAACGGGAACGATATGTTCCACTCGACGTGGTGTAACAATACAACATTGCCATTTTAGGTGCAGGCTGTCGTGAGTGGGATAAGACCAGGGTTGCACCAAACGAGTTGGAGAGGGTCGGCATTGATTGGAGAATTTGCGTTTGCATTTGCAGGAGAAACGGGAGAGGAGGGGGGGGGGGTTGAAGGAAGCAATGTGATCAAAAGTAATGCAATTCATTGAGTAATACTGAGATATCCTGCATGCCGTAGAGACACCACCGGTTTCTTGATGGCTTGCGTTAGTCCTCGAGCTCCTTCGCCTACAATGGTAGAGATTACCTATCTCCCTCCAAAAATCCCCGGCCACGGGCAGTGTGAGCCCGTTTGTTCTTGGTGCGGTTTCCTGCAGCCGGCGTCCCGATTGAGGTTGCAGCTCATACTACCCGGCGCCCGGTACGGTACCTTATATTCAAATCCCCCAGCCGTCCCCGCACCTCTTTGGGTCTGTGAATCCTAGGACTTCAAGACACTCCTTCGAAATCCTCCATTTGCAGTGACGGTCGGCGTTCCTATTGCGCCTTATCTTCCAAGCTTAGCACTACATACTGCCGGTAACTGGTCAAGACCGTACCAGTGGTGTAGCTATGGGAGACGGCGCTCATATTACCCCCAGTCCGGCGCCGGCCCACGACCTTAGCTTAGACAAGAAGGAAACTATTCACGCCGTGGACTCATTAACTTCTCACAGCGAACCTCCCCGAAAGACATGGCTCGCCAGCCTCAAATCCTGGGCTTTCCTTGGAACTCAGAGCAATGCCCGGTCTCCCGTCTATCAGCGCCGTGCCCCACCACCGACAGCCGAGTCGGACTCGCTCTGGTCCAAGCTAAGAACCTTCTTCAAGTTCCTCGGGCCAGGTGCCATCATCAGCGTGGCCTATGTCGACCCGGATAATTACCAGACCGCCATTGCCTCTGGGAGCTCGTTCCAATACAGGTTACTGTTCATGGTGCTGGTGTCGAACATCATTGCCATCTACATCCAGGTATGGCCAGCGTTTGCAGCGACACCTCAAGGAGGCTGGCTAGCTAACACTGCTAGTCTCTGTGTATCAAACTCGGCACCGTAACCGGCATGGACCTTGCCCAGCTGAATCACCGGTACCTCCCGCGCTGGCTCGAGCTCATCATCTACGTGATCGCCGAGGCGAGCATCATCGCCACAGACCTCGGCCAGGTCATCGGCCAGTCCATCGCGCTCAACATCCTGATCCCGGCGCTCCCACTGTCCGCGGCATGCGTCCTCTCGGTGGTGGACACGCTGCTCATCCTGCTCTTCTATACGCCCACAGGTGAGCTCCGCCGCGTGCGCATCTTCGAGGTCTTTGTGGCGCTCCTGGTCGCGGCTGTCTTTGTAACTCTCTGCGTGGCGCTCTCCATGGTCTCGCCGCCCGCGGGGCCCGTCTTCCGCGGCTTCCTCCCGTCGCGCGAGGTCTTTGTCGACACGGGCCTGTACGAGATGTGCGCCATCCTAGGGGGCACGCTCATGCCGCACGCGCTGTACGTCGGCACGGCCCTCTCCCGCTCGCGCCTATACGACTTTGACGCAAAGCACCACCCCACCACCACCACCACAACAGTAACAAACACAACCACCTCCCCCACATCCCCCACCTACAGCTCATCCACCCTCTCCCAACAACCACCCCCCTACCGCCCCTCCCTCCAGGCTATCCGCGCCTGCCTCCGCTACTCCATCGCCGAGCTCTGCATCACGCTCTTCACCATCGCCGTGCTCGTCAACTCGGCCCTGCTCATCATCGCCGGCACCGCCTTCTACCACCCCCCCTCATCCGAAATCCCCCCAGACGACGAAGAACCCTCTTCCTCCGAAGACCTCTACACCCTGCACACCCTCTTCTCCACGCTCATCTCCCCCACCGCCGGCACGCTCTTCGCCACCTCCCTCCTCTTCTCCGGCATCAGCGCGGGCGTCGTCTCCACCGTGGCGGGGCAAGTCGTGATGGAGGGGGCCTTCGCGGTGCGGCTGGCGCCGTTCGCGCGGCGGCTGCTGACGCGGTGCGTGGCCATCGTGCCCGCGCTGGTGATCGCGCTGGCGGTGGGGCGCGAGGGGCTGGGCAGGGCGCTGGTGGCGTGTAATTACCTGTTGGCGATTGCGCTGATTCCCGTGACGGCGCCGGTGATTTGGTATACGGGGAGGGGTAGGTATATGGTGGTGGGGGTGGGGGTTGGTGGTGGTGTTTGGTGAGGGGGAGAGGGAGGGGGATGGGGAAGATGGGGGGGAGGGTGCGGTGGTGGATTTGAAGAATCATTGGGTTACGGCCGGGGTGGGGTGGCCTGTTGTGGTTGTTGGTGGTGGTGATGGATGTGGCGACGGTGGTGTTGGTGAGGTTGGGAGTGACGGAGCCGGATGGGTGAGCCGAGGTGTGGCTCGGGTTGAAATTGAGATGAGGCATTCTGGCGTACATGTACTATACACGCGGAATGATGTATCTCTCGAGTGTTTGCCTGGTAATCTATGCAATTATCAGTACGTTCTGTCATCAACTGCCTGGGATATACCTCTGTCATGTTCCCAGACCTTTGATAACCGCCATCATGTGGCAACCAACGCTGTTCTAACCTCATGATAGACAGCCGGCACACCGCCCGAGATGCGCCGCCCAAAAATATCAAAGGGATTACCTTGGAGGAAGCTAGCAAAATGGGTATCCGCAAGCAAATATCGACGCCTGCCCTAACCACTAGTCATATCACATCAACCATTCTCCGTCCCGACCTTTTAGAATACTGCCCACACCCTCGAGTCCCGCGCTTCACTCCGGTTTCTTCAAACATTTTAGCAACGGCGCAATTCGCGACCTCTTGCTTAGTCCCACACGGTACTGCACCTTCTGAGGGCCAGACTTGAGATCCTTGAGATCCTTGGCGGCCTGCTTCTCCTTTTCCGTTGGCTTGTCTTTGACCACGGCATCCTTTGCCGTCACCGGGACATTCTCTTTACTATCGCCAACATCACTGCCGCCAGCATATGTTGCGGCTATCTCTGGACTGGGTTGGGAGTTGCGGTCCACCTCGAAAAGCGGTTGGGGTTCCGCCGCGTTGGCCTCGGCTTCCTCGTACGGTTGCCGCTCTGGCTCATTTTCGGGTTCGGGTTGCGGTTTGGAGACCTCGGATTTGCGTGGGCGACCGCGTTTCCGTTTGGACGGCGGCTTTGTAGTTTCTGCGGGTTCAGGGGCCGGTTCTGGTTCGGTTTCTGCTGCTTGTGTCGGCTCGTCGGGCTCGGGCGCGGGTTCTTGGGTTTTGGCGCCCTTTTTCTTTCGTCCTCTTTTGCTCTTGGCCGTGGGTTTTGGAGCTGTTGCCGGGGTTTCCATTGCATCGATATCGATTGGCTCGCCGTCGGGCAAGAATGCCTGGACGTCCATATCCGCCACTGGTTGCGCTGTGCTGTGGCCGGTGTTTCCAACCTCGTCCTGGGTTTGTAGATTTTGCGGTGGTGCGTCATTGTTCTCTTGCGTGCTTCCCAAAGGATCTCGATCCCAAGAGTCGTCTTCCGCTTCTCGCACGACTTTTCTCTTTTTCGTCCTACGTGCTGGCGCGGGCAATTCGAGTTCGAATGCATCTAACTGTGTAGGAGACGCAACCTTCGCCCTGCTCCTTTTGGACCTCGAACTAGCTGTGGTGGTCATATCCGTGAGCACATCAGGCGATGACTGCTATAATACGTTTAGCCATCCACATATCTCCGAGCGGTCTCTGATAACGAACCTGGTGCCCAACGTCATAGCTCGGCGACATTCCCGCAACGGAACGCTCGCCTCCCTCCTCAACTACCTCTGACAGTCTCCCCGCTGATGCAACCCGGCTCGGGGTCGGGTAAGCAATCGTCGACGTAACTCGGCTTGGTGTCGGGTACGCAATGGTCGGAGCACTCGACTTGTACATCTCCCCCGCTTCCAATCCTTGTCCCACAAACGACGGCGTCTCCGAATCCTGGAGCGGCATTCCCTCAGAAGAAAAATGGACCGCCTGATACTGCTCCTTCTGGCTTGCCGTGAGGGTGCTCTGGGTAACATACAACGATGGGATGGCGGTGTTGGGTATGCTGGAGTCCGTACCAAAGCTGGCTTTCTTCTTCCGGCTGCTTCGTGTCCGCCTGTCCGAGCTGGTTGGCACCTCTGTTGGGACGAGCATCACAGGACTGGAGTCTTGCGCCCTTTGGGTTGCGCTAGATGGCGTTCCGTGCCTGTCGGTTCTGGTTGGTGGTGTGGCGTCGGGAAAGGCGTACGGGTCCTGGGTATCCGGCAGGGTATTTGGCACTGCTTCCTGCTCCAGACTAAGCTGCGCAACCTTGCGCTTCCCATTAGTCCTCGTGAACCTTTGTGACCTGGCCGAGGCCGGGACATCCCACACATCGCTAGTCTCTTTGCTTGGCGTTGTAATATCCGTCAGGTCAATAACGTCCAATTCACGAACTTCCCGAGCCTTCTTTGCCTTCCGACTTCCCGACACTGGGTCGGTCACAGGAGTAAGAGACGAGTAGTCCTTAGTCTGTAGTCTCTGGCCCGGAGGTGGAGCTGATGAGATGTTGGTCCATGTCGAGTCAGCATGTCCAACTGGTGCTGTATCCGGAATCACATCCTGCACGTCGGTAGCGGCGTGCTGCTGATCGTAGATGCGCTGGAAAAACGACGGATCCGTCGAGTCAATACCAGGGTCGGTATTGTTGTGTGATGCGCCAGTGATCTTGGAGCCTTCTTCACCACCAGACAATAGTTCAGTCTCAGGTCCGTCGCCAAAATCGCTGCCGTCGTCCTCAGAGTCAAGGACCACGCCCCGAGGTGCCATCGTTGCCGCCTCAAATAAATATTAGCCCTTGTTGTCGTGGTTGTGGAGTGAAAGTCGCGGTGGGGGGAATTTTGTCAAGTGTCGCGTCTCGCTCCTGGCACTTTACGCGCTGGAGCACTGTCATGGGTTGCCAAGCCTTGTAAGAAGCTACCCTAACCCTCTATTACACATTAAGAGGAGTCGATTCCTAGAGTACCTATCCTAAGTGTCTAATGCTACTAATTAATCTGCTTCTGATTTATCTACTCCACCTCCTCAATCAGAGGCTTCTTAGGTCGGGAGCTACCCTCACCGGAATCCGTACTCTCTGGGTTAACAACCAACCCAGCAAGCCTAGTGAGCGTGAGCCCAGCAAACCCCTGATCCTGAGCAGGCCCGGCCGGCAGCAACCTCACAATCCTCCAGTTCTCCAAACTCTCCATCACATCCTTCGCATGCTGCACCACCAAACCGTCGTTGTCCGTTTCGGCCACATACTTTAACACCCGCAATACGTCCTCTTGAGCTCGCGGCCCGAACCTCATCCCGAGATCTCTCCCCCTCTCCCTCGCCTGGTCCAAAGCTTTCACAAAGCTTAGCACAAACATAACGGCGGCACGTCTTAAGATACCTGCTTCCGCCTCTGGTTCCACCTGCAACACCATGATGCAGAGATCCACCACGCCGGTCACCAGGCTGCGGCCCAGCCCGGCGACATTCACTTCGACCGCCGCACCCAGGATCGACAGCGCCGAGGCGCGCACCCTAACGTCCTCGCTACCGTTTTTACTTTCCCAGCCCTCCACAATCTGCTCAAGAGCCTCATTGCGGAGCTTCTCCTCCGCCGTCATCCCCTCATCATCCCCCAAATCCGGCACATCACCGCCCCACGCATCCGCCGCCTCACGATTCCTCTTCTCCCGCGCCTCCGCCTCGCGGAGCTGTCTCGCCTCCGTCTTGGACCTGTGTGCGCGACGTCCCGCGGTGGCCAACAGCGCGGTGCCCGTGTCGTGCGCGAGGGGGCCTGCAAAAGTTTCACCCAGGCGCTGGATGACCTGTAGCAGTGCCTCACCGAAGCGCAGGCGAGCGTCGAGCGGGCGGGTCTCGCCCTCGTCGAGGAAGCATTCGGTGAGCTCGCGGACCACGGATTTGGGGTGGGCGTCGCAGAGTTGAAGGTATAGTTTAATCACGCGTAGGTAAACGTACTCCTCGGCGTCGGCGATAACGGACGAGAGGAGGACTAGGATACCGGGTATGTCGAGGATAGGCGACTGTGCAGTGATTAATTGGGAGATGAGGTTTAGGCCTTCGGAGCGCACGGGAGGGGGGGATTCGGGGTCGAGGATGTAAGAAACGGCGAGGTTATAAGTCTTTCGGTCTTCGATCTGCTGGTCGGTAGGTGCCGTGGTGGCGGGGCCGGTCGGGTCCAGTGCATCACCGTATTGAAGAAGTAGACTGAGGTTAGAGGCAGTCTTGGAAATCTCGGTGTCGGCTTTGGAGAGCTTGTCAAGGGACGACTCGATAAGGCCGAGGATATTGGTATCGACCTGAGACTTTTGGAAGCCGACGGCGGTGATAACGGTAAAAAGAAGGCTTAGCGCCACGCCTGTGGTCTCGTCGTCGTCGTTTGAGCTATTTCCAGAGCGCGCCAGTACCTGGCTGGCGAACTCGAAAACGTGCTTCGGTTTTGTGGCAAGCTTATCGGGGAACCTCTCCATTATGCGTTGGAGCACCTTGATCTCGACCAACCGGCCAAGCGCATCCTGGTCATCTATGTCCTGGTCGTTTTCCTCCTTCCCCGCGATACCGTCAGATTTCGAAAGCGGCGAGGACTCTGTCCATTTCTTGAAGAGTTGAAGGAAGCCTAAAGAAATGTTTTCTTCGGAAAGGTTCGATGAGATAAGGTCTAGAAGCTTGGATATTTTGTCGTCTATGGCCTCGAGCGTGAGTCGCGGCGTCGGTAGGCCATTATCTCTTAGGCGTTGATGTTTGGTGTCTACGATTTGAATCAAACCGTCTTCCGTAGATCTGAATATCCACTCGGGGTTCTTTTTGTCGTGGCCGCCGCTGTATCCGAGGTTCTGGGCGAAAAACAGGATGGCATAAGGATTCGCAAGTAACTTGATATGGATCTTTAGTAGTTCCATCGCAGTTGTGCACACCTTTGCTGCAACAGGCGGCGACGGCGTGGGCCAGGCTGCAAGAGCCCAAAGTGGTAGGACCACAACAGTGAGTAACCGCCGACAAAGGTTCGGATTAGGGTGCCCTGTCAATAACGCGTGTAGCCGATGAAGCGCAGTGGCCAAGTCGTCGTACGAGACAACAGTCTTGTCCTTACTTAGGTCGAGGACGTTGTTAACATCGGTATCGGCCTCGTGTGAGAGCCGAGGAGGCGGTTTGATGGCTTTCAGCATGGGCTCTGCCAAAGACTTGTAGCCAGCGGTCCCTAAACAACTCGTTAGCTCGAATTATAGATGAGAACCGGAGAAGGGTACGTACCTGGGGCTCCCGAAGATTTTTTCCCCAAAATGTTGAAGCCGATAATGTAGGCGGCTGCTTTGGCTAAGTCTGGCCCTTCATTTCCATCAAGCAACGTCAGCAACTGGGTCGCGATGGCCGGGTACCACGCCTCGGGGGTCATCGTTCGTGCTGGGCGAGATATGGCGTTGGCTGCAAGAGCGAGGGCCTCCTGGGTGATATTGGCTCCCTTCGACTGCGGGACTGCGGCCTCGGACACGTTTACCGTGCTCGAAGGATGGATCGAGGCAACGAATTCTAATGTGGCCCGAACGCCGTCTGGACGCTCGGCTGGCACTCGCGCCAGCTTCTGCAGCAGCTGCTGGCGCAGCCATGGTGGGCACACGCCTGGCTTGATCAGGCCGTTGAGGGCGGTTATGACGGTAGGGGTTTTAATCCTAGAAAGGGGTCAGATATGATTCAAATAGCATCGGGCATCGCACTGAGCTTACTTATCAACCAGCTCCTCCCATTCCTTGATGGCTTGAGTGTTCTCGGGTTGTTTGGGGTCGAAGGCCTTCAGGCCTTCCCTGCAGATGGCGATGGAGCTGGACTGGGCGGCAGCATCCATGGTGTTGTTAAAGAAGGGAGAAAATAAAATTTCAATAAAATGTTGTATTGGCTAGGTAGCCGTGATGATAATACGCGAGGGCAGGCTTTGGCCGTCGTGAATAGCACAGTTTCCGTGCGATGAAAAGTGGTCGACGTTTTTGGCCGGCTTGCGCCGGGATGTTTTGTTTATGTACCTAGGTAGGGATATGAGTGCGGATGACTTCCCACAAGAAACGGGATGTAGTGAAGAGCGGAAATTATCGAAGGCACGGATGGGTGTTCGTGGTTGACTAACTGACTTTGATGATGAAGTTTGTATTTTTCTGGGAGGAGAGCTTGGGCGATGAGAGTGAAGGAGATAGAAGACTCCGGAAGTGGCAAAATGTGGGGCTGAACTTGTCAGGTGCATCCCAAGTACATATACAGTAAGTCCAGTTGTCACGAATCGAGGCCAGCTGAGGGGCGCGGGCCGCCCCGTAGCCAATCACTTAAGTGACCAATCAGGAACAGGCTCTGTCGGGCTCTCTCAGAACCTGAGCGAGCCCGGAAGGAAAAACACCAATCACGTTATAGAGCAGCCTGCTCTCTTGACATCACAGGGAGCCCGGCTCCATGGCGCTCTGAGGGAGCCACAGAGAGCCACAAGATGTTAGATGGTATATAGTCACTCGTTCCGGAGAGCTCTGAGAGTCCTCCAGTTAGCAATCACAACTACAGTTCGCTACAAGCTCGGAAGCCTACTGCTGAGAAAAGTCTTTGTTGTGCACCTTTTGGCTGCACCGAACCTAAGCACCCTTGAGAGATTACCTTCAACCGAAGCTGAACCCTAACAGGACAGGGTTCCTGAAGTAGGTTCGTCACACAGTCCTCTCTGTGAGAGACAAGTGGCATCAAGGCGAGGCACAGGGGCACTGCAAGTGCCGACTCAATTCTGCTAATCGTAAGATGGGGAGAAAGGAGGAGAAGCTGGAAGAGCTCTCGCGATACCGAAGCTAAATGCAAGAGCAGGTGGCACGTGCACTCAGTGACCGGTGCTGCCACGTGCACTCCGACGGCAGGCGCCGTCCCACTCTCCCTGTTTGTGTTCGCTAGCACGTGACTTCGCGACCGGGGTCCTTGCTAAATCCCCAGCTTAGACATAAAAGCACAAATCTTTTCAGAAATAAAAGGGTTAAATAAAAACAGTCTACATAAGCGCTTCTGAATATTACATTTTCTTTCTTTTTAAACCGTTGTCCGGCTGTTGAGTTAAGGGTTTTCAACTTTTGAATTAGGATCACTATCAGAGAAGCCGCGCTAACAAACAGACAGTGACTGCACTGTGCCTGCCAGCTGCTGCCAAGCCGCTGCCAGGGAAGGAACCCATGCAGGTCATTTCCCACTCAACGCGTCTTTCCCAGAGACAACGCGTCTCCCGACCTTCAACTTCCTCAACCTTCCAAACGCTGCAAAACTGCCCTTACGATGTCCAACAGGAATCGTCCTAATTCAATGCCTGCTAAACCCAGGAAACCCGCTTGAGGTGCAGATTTTGTCAATTCGCATCGAAATACACAACCACCGACAACAATCCCAACGCCGACTCGCCCTCTCAGCCAACGTCTTTCGCCATGAGCACCTCTCACGCACCACGCCTTCCCCACAGTTCTCCGATTCCAATTTTCCGCAAGGAATGTCGCCGCTACCACCTCATCGAGATCTGGACCCCCACAGTACGTCGCAGCTTCGATCCCGTATCGGGTACCCTCAAGCTTGCCGCGCTCGGATCTACTGTGGTCAGCTTCCTGTCCCCTGGGACAGGCCAGTCCCGTGAGCGTGAATTGGTCTCGGAACTTAACCCTAAATACACATTTGGTTAAGCAAAGTCTTGCGCTACTCATAGTCATTCGGTCCCCTCCTTCTATGCCCGCGTTGCTCAATGGTCGGGTTGCTGCTGGCCGCTGAAAAGTGGTGCAGCCCCGGTTCCGGCGGCGACATGGGCGGACCGGCGGGGTTCGAGCTCCAGTCACCCCTTCGCGGGTGGGCGACCGTCTCTTCCCATGAGTCCACACGGTAAGCGCCTCTGGTCCGAGGCCGCTCGTCGGGATGAGACACTGGAACCAGTACTCTGGTCACAACGGATTGTCTGCGGCGGTGTTGGTTAGACGACTGAGACCGGTGAACACACTCTTGCATGCTCTTTGTGGTTGCCTCCGTTCGGAGCAGCCTTCGGAATGAGAGGGAGAGCGCAGCCTCGGCTTCACACGGTCATCTAGCACATTTCATCTCCCCGCCTACAGCTCGCCTCGCAGGAATCACCTCTGGGTGAGCGAGGGCCGCTAGGCTGCCCACGGAAATGTCAACGGATGATACCCAACTCGCCGTGCTGCCACGCTCTCGGTACCCTCGACTTCCAACCCCCCTCTGCATGCGTGTCCCGCCTTCTCACGACTCCGCCGACCCCCACGGACCGCGCCACGGCAACACACCATGCCCGACGCGTCATGTGTCTCAAAAACACCATGAGGTTCGACCAGGCGCATTAACTCGTCCTCGTAGGCCCTATCCTACGTCCGGCGAGACGCCAAAACACCGCCATGTCTCCGACACGGCACCTTCCCCCCTTCCTAGGCCCTCTTTATGGTTTGTGGCAAGGAGATGATAGCACGGTTTTTTTGAGGATGTCTTTTGTCCGTGCGGTACCCGCCCTTCTTTCGTTGTGCTTGTCTTTTGGCAGGGCGGCGTTGGAAGAGGAAACAAAAACTAGTCCCTGTTGGCAGTGCGATACATACGGAGAGACATTGGCTGGGCGGCCGACCACTGGGATTTGCGACTCTGGTTGCCGGTTTTGACGAGATCTGCATCGACGACAGAGGGCTTCGACTACGGGTTTAACGGTGCGGCGGATTGGGGCATGTTGTGAGGGATCGGCTGGGCTGGGGGTGTTCGGTTGGCTGCCTGAGAACCAATGCTTCAAGCCGGGTGCTCCGGATGAAGGGTGGTTGGTTGCGACGGACCAGGCACCGGGACCCATCTTGAGTTGGAGTCAAAGCTTCGTGCTTGTCTGGTTGTCCGGAACCCGTCTCTTCTGGCTGCCCGGATTCTCGTGTTCTTCGGCGAGGGCTTTGCTGTTCGCAGTCAGCTAGTTGGAAAAGGACGGGCCCACGGGGGCGGTCCTGGCTGTCCTCCCTCCAGGAATGGCGGGAGGGCAGTCCCTCTTTTTTGAGGATAAGTGGCCCCATTGATTCGGTGGTGTTGGTCTCGTGCTAACTTGTCAACAGGACATGGAGATATGAGCTTTTCGCGAGACAAGCAGGCTCTCTTTGCGAGCTTCAATCATCATGCCGTGGCCAAGAAATTGAAGTTGTGGATATTCCAACAGTAACCGTAAACCAATACCGGATAATTTACACTCCGTTTGTGGACAACTTGGACGCTCCAGACGGGACCTCCTCGCGGCAAGCAAGGGGACCTTTTCTCCCATCACGCCGCCGCTGTTTTGAAGGGACGATACAATACACACAGTGCATGATACCTGACCCACCACGGCGAGGAAGCACCACTCCGAAAACCACGTGGCCGCCACCACCGTCAATCCTCCACGAACGGCTCATCCATCCATCCATCCGCATCCGCGAGAACGTCATCCTTGTCCCCTGCTCCCCCCCCTCGTTCCATGTGATGAATAGTAGTGTAGTCGGCGCATGTCTCCATATGTACTGTGCAATGCGTGGTTTCTTCAACAATCGCTCACCCACCCACCCCTCGCCTGCGTCGGCCCCACTTTGGCGTTTTTGTTTGCTTGCTTTCCACTCCACTCTTATCCCCTGTGGGGGATGGATTTCCCGTGTTTGGCCGCGGCTTGCTTGTTTTGGAGTGTGCTTGGCTGGGGGTTGCATTGGTGTTCCAGAAGGGGCTGTGGAAGCTGGTGAGAGCGCTCTCCCGTCCGTTCCCCGTCCCCCCCCCCCTTTCGTTTATGCGGTGGGGCGGAGACGCGGACGCGGACGTGGACGCGGGGGGTTGATTGGGGGTCAGGGGGGGGTTGGTTGTTTGATGGAGAGGGTCTGTGGGTTGATGGTAGGTTGATGGTGGAGTTGGGAGCAGGTGAGGGGATGATGATGGGGTTGATGGATGCTGTTGTTTCCTCAGTACCTCGGCTGATCGCGCCTTCGATGAGAGCTTTGTGGATGTTTTGTTCTATTTGTTTGGTCGGCTTCGACGCGCGAATCGTGTTCATCCGTTGTTTCCATCATTGGATCATTTGGGCGTCCCGCTGCTGGGATGTGGCGACCGGAGTGGATCTCGACCGTTACGCTAGTCCCTCACCAACACTAGCGCAGATCAACGGTTTCGGACGGCGCGATCGGGCCTTGCCGAACCCTGGCCTTGAGGTTTTGTTGTTTTGTCCGCTGTTGGCTCAATCCAGGCGGCTTCGAGAACCCTTCCAAGGGTGGGGCGGGGCCTTGTCCCTGAGCTTGTGCTCTGGAAGTGAGGGGGGCTTACAGTGCATTTGATATTGGAAAGGAGTGGTGCATGATGCAGAGAAAGGCCCCTCAGCTGTGAGGTAATGATGTGGCTTGCTGGTTGCTGCTGTGCGTTGCGTGCCGTGGTGGGCGCACGTTGACGGATGTTGCATTCCTGGAGATGGAGAGGCACCTTGATGTTGGCCGCTCAGGGTCACCATGCGGAGCCAGGGTCACAACGCCGACCCCACCTCACACTCCTCACTATCGCCGCACCAGCGTCATTTCTCGCTTTTTTTTCTCCTTTCCTCTCTCTCATCTGTTCTTGTTTTGTTTTCGTTGTTTTTTTCCCCCCCTTCTTGGTACTACACTATCCTTCACACATCCAGACAAACCATGGCTTATCAGTAAATCGTGGCAGCGTTCACCAGAAGTCGATTATGTCAACTCATCCTTAAGCGAGGTCGAGCTCTGAGCTTGTTGCAACCGCTATTCATGCGGCCATCGCATCTTGCAGCTCGATCCGTCCGATAAGGCACACTCGGTTGCTCCGGAAGCGACTTGGCGGACGGCATGTGCTGCGTGTATCTTGTTGGCTCCTCGCTGGTTGGCATCAGGTGCTTTTCGTCAGCTGTTTGCTGCTATCAGAGGAGGGATATGAATGCATGATTTACGGGTGGCGTTTCGTACAGTATGTACCGTGGTGGCCAGCTCATCTAGATCCCGCCATGGCCCCTCACTTTTCCCACGGGGAGAGGAGCAGGGTTCGGACATTCAATGTATGTGCTGTAAAAAGAATCACCATGTCTAGACCGGCCTGAAAGCGGGGCCGCCCGCAAATCAGAACCGGAGGCCGCAGTTGTGCGACGAAGCTGTCGTTGCTGATTCGCGACCGTGAACAAGTTGCCAAGGGTATGCTTTTCCATCCAGGCTCTCCCTGCTTTGACGCCAGCGTGATATCGGGTCCAGAGTCTCAACCCCTGGTCTGGTCCATACATGAACACAGTAGAATGCCGGCTAGAAGTGCAAGGGAGAAGGGTCAATGCGACGGGCGGATAAGCAAACCGCGTACTTGTAGGGCCCGCATGGCGAGCTGGGGCTCGGAAATGGCGACGGTCAGATGTTTGTTCGAGTTGACCTCGACCCTGTCGAAACGGGCCTCTCTCGAGTTTGGTTGGCAGTGTTGTGATGGCAGGCACTCTCGTAATCTAAAAAAAAAATTGCGGCATCTTATTGGTTCGTACATAACTACCTGACTTTTGAAGCCATTCACTCATTCTACATTCTGATGTTTTGATTCGATTGTGGCAGCGCCCAATAAATCAAAGATAAACCTTCTCAAGGATGCTGCGCCGCGAAACGGCAGGGAGCAACCCCAAACCGACCCACCATGTAACCCCAAAACCCCCCATGTTCATCCAACCTGTAGATTAACACCCCACTCCAAAAGGCACCATTACCCAACCTGTCAAGTTTGGTATCAATCTTGCGTGTCCCAGCCTTTTTTTTCCCCATCTATTCCGCCTCTCCAAAAATGAGACGGACTGGTTCCAGGGAGGGGAAAGGGGGTGAGAGTGAGAAAGAGAAGAGAGAGAAAACCCGGCTCGCCACACCAAGGAAAAAACTCGCACAGTGTTTCAGATCGTCGCACATCATCCGTTTTGCCCCGTTGTTTGAAGGGGGGGGATGTCTTATATCTCACCAGCTCCAGGCGGCCGAGATTCTTCCATCATTAAAACGCCATCTGTCCGGGAACACCCACAGACGTCAACACCGGCCGTGGCGTGTCGCTGGTCGTAAAGGTGCTGTAAGGAAATGCCTGCGGTGCCATGGCCTTCTGTCGGAGGACCCAATACGCGCCCGAGCCGGACTCGTCAGCGGGGACGATCTCCATCACGGTGTATCGGAGGGTGCCATGTATGACTTGGGGAACGCAGATCTCCGTTGGCGCGGTGGGGTTCTGTCGCCGCTGGGGTTGTGGACGTTGCCATGTTGCCGAGGAATGGGTGTGTGGTGGGTTTGCTGCCTCGGATTCCGCCACATCACGACCATCAGCCTGTGGTTGGTTAGTAAAGTCGAGGAACAACGGTTTGGGGATTCCTTACGAGACACATGGCGCAGGCGTGGCCATTGCAGTAAACCCAGTTGGGGCAGTTGTAGGTATAGAAGTACTTGCACCGGTACTTGTAAAATCCGCCGCTGCCCCGACATGGTGAGCGTATTGAACTTGGTTTCCCTTAACCAATGTGTTAAACTTGGAGTAATAGGGTGAAGCAAAGGAGTCGACTGTCCGCTGGCAGTCAAGCGACAGAAAGGGCTAAGATTGCTGGAGTCTCGTAGGCCAATCTGACGACAAAGGATTTGCCCGTACGAAGCAAGGGAAGCCGATGAGGTCGAGGAGGATGGCGAGATGTTGCTTTATACACGAGGTGGGCAGGACCCTAGGAGGTTTGTGGTGCATTGAACTGCACAGATCTCCCGGCCAAGCTTCCGGAGAGCTGCCGGCGGCTTCCATGACCAAACCGGGAAGTACAGGGGTGATGGCCGGGGTTGCGATATGCCGCAATTTGATCTGGCATGTCGTGAAATGGCCCGTTCGAGACTGTCAGCGGTTTCGACTACTACGGTAATAAAGGTCCCTGAGCCCCTGGGTACGGGAGCCGGGATACTTGAGACCAGCCACCTCCAAGCTTTTGAGGAGGGTGACATGCTATGAGCGCACTACTTTCTCGAGGGTGCACGGCAGCCATCTGCGAGGTTCCTTGACGCGGCTGGTCGACCCAAGGTGCGAGAATGAGCAACCCAATCGCAATCCTTCTGAGACCGGCGGCTCAAGGTGAGGTGCTTTCCCAGAGTTGTTGCTGTCGGGGTCTGATCTGACAAGAGCGAATAGGGGCTTCCGGCATGTTACCGGCCCTGCTATATGTACCCATTGCAACACCACTGCAGTGACAGGGCGGCGCTGAAAAAGACCAGCCGGGAACGGCTCCCGCGGGATGTGTAGCATTGGCCGCCAGAGAAGGGGACAAAATCGCCCACGACGCGGCAAGAGCTGCATCTAAGACGGCCCGCGTGAGCTCGACCCGGAGCCGAGGGTTGCACAAACTGGCTGACCACACCATGCTGTGCCCAATCGATACAATATTGGAGATTTGAGGAAGAAATGGTCCGGTTCGCACTGCATTAAAAAACGCAAACCTCCTCCCACGGAATGAAGGAACTATCCCTCACGCGGCTTCAAATTGCGGTAGCAGCCTAGGTAGGCCTAGTGAGACTGTTGTCGTCGCATGGAAGGGAAGCAGGAGCCCAGGGTGACAGTGGAGCACTGGTGGATAAAAACCGGAAGCCAGGGGTCCTTGAATGATCCATATAGTGCGTATTTGTATCAAATGACACTGTATCCGTAACTGTTTATACAAAATACAACATGATTCCATCACTCCACCTTCCACCACACCGAACACTCACCTTCAACCTCAACCTTCCAAGCAGAATCATCTCAACAGTCAAATCAACTTTCACCATCGGTCAACCCTCAGTATCTCGCATCGCGGTCGTGGAACAAAGTGGTCAGCAATGACATTTGTAACCCCATACTGTATCGCACTTTATGATGCTGTGTAACCCCCACAATTGGCCACTCCTCGACCCCCGGATAATTTAACACATGAATTTTCATACACATCTCTATATCTTGGGCTCTCCAACGTATAAAACAGTTGTCCTTTGCAGAGGGAAACTTGTATTTTTACTCGTGGCCTATCTCCGGTCGACCTGCAAGATTCTTGCTCAAATGGCAAAGTACCATCGCATCAACAGCTCAACGGAACTGCCGTGTCGTGGGCCTCAGGGTAGGTATCACACTAGGTATCTACCGGCCTGAAGATTCCACTGGACATGCCGCCCCCACTCCCCCCACCTCATGCTTTGCCCCTGCAGCCTGACACCTTTTCCAGGTGGAAGAAAGCAAGCCGGACATGAGCTCTCCTCCCGCCCGCAGACGCAGCAGCATCGGGGGTAGATGACGAACGTTGTGTCGTGTTGGAGAGCCAATCACCAACAGCCATACCTGAGCCGGCATCAAGACGCCACTGATACTACCCCCCACCCCTCTGGGATATCACTCGCCAGCCCAAATGAACTTCTTGGGTGGCTCGATGGGACCACTTTAGAGGGGTTGTCATCGACACATCGCAGGTGCTTGGAGCACAGGGATAGCCGAAATGCATCCTACACCTCAAGTACAACGCATGGCTTCCTGGCGATGACGAGGCTCCAGCTAACCAGACGGGCTCTCTTTACGTCAACTCTATGACTCATGTCGAGCAGACCGTTTCCATTTCGGGGCCATGGGTTCTCGCCCCGCGCGCTTCCAGTCCCCCGTAGCAGACGCATTAGGCCAGCGTCGTAGCGTTTCATCGGGGTACCTTTGCTGTAAATTGGGTATATGACACAGGCTGGGTATCAAGGATCGAGGCCGGAACGATCCGCCTCGGCCGGGGAATATCGCGATTCGCGCGCCAGTAGTTCCTAGAACTAGGAGCAGGAACTGTGGGCTATCAGCGGGGCCATTGTCAGCCGAGGTTTTCTGTATAGGACTCCTGCTGCTGGGGCAGCAAAGGGTCCTGCCCCAGCAGGATATCACCAAATAACCCTGCCGACATAACACCCTCGCTCCCGCCCGAGTTAACACGTCCCTCTCCTCTCTCATGCCCCATGACGGAACCTGGCCGTGTCCGTGTTTCATAATTCACGCCGAGCGGCCACTAATAACAGTCAGACGATGTTTTGCGGCCTGGTTGGGCGGCTTCCTGAGTCCGCCGTTGCCCGACCAGATCTGACGTTCGCTCACACCACTTGGACAACATCTGGATGTGATACAACTGTAGAACTTGGGCAGCTGTGCCCCATATAGGATGCTAGGTGACAGAGACTGGCCTTGATGGCGTCAAGGTAAGACCCGCTCTCGTATCGTTGCTTGATCGGACTGAAATCCAGGCCAAATTTGGTATAGATTTATTCCCCAGAGCCGCGCCGAAATTGCAGGTCTAGTGGTACGCCGTTACCGTCTACACAGCCCACGAAAATGACACATATCGTCCCATTTTCCGTTTCCCTCTTCCCCGTACGCCCGGCACATAACATCCATCAGAAGTTAGCAGATCTTCAACGACCACCCTTCATGGCCTGACGGCGGCGAATCTTCTCGGTAATGCGGGTGAGAGCCGACTTGATCTCCCCCTTTTCGAAGGTGTCAATGTCGTAGTAGGTAGGGGCGATTTCCTAAGCGTAGTTAGCACCATTATTCCTACACCGGATGGAAGCCAGGTGAGGTAGGGAAACTCACAAGAAGCCATTCGGCCCTAATATTCGTCACCGTCCTCACGTACTGCTTAGTTGTGAGTACAAACTCGTTATATACAACCCAGTCGTACGGGGTTGAGACGACGGTGCCCGGGTGGATCATGACAAGCTGGTCGTCCTTCACCGTCTTGTACACTTTCGACGTTGAACTCTCACGCATGGCGACCTGCATGAAGAAGCCTGCAAGCAGAGCCCGCCGGATGTTGGTGTAGTAGTCTTTATCCTGGAACGGTGTGCTGACCAACTCGATATCGTGCGTTTCCATGATGCGCTTCAACTGCGCGCGCACGTTGTCCGCGCTCGACAGATGCCGGAAAGATAGGAAGTGTTCGTGGCACCACTTCTTGACGTCGTCGCCGGCCTGCTCGGCGGCCTTGTACGCATGGTAAGCGTTGAGTAGAGTCAGGTGATCGCCGTCGGGGTGAGCGAACATCTGTTTCATCTCATCGGCACGCTTGCGCGCGTTGTTGGGGCGCACCCATATTTGTGGGACGGAAAGGAGGGAGGTGATGGAGAGGATCTCATTGGAGCAGTAGAACTCCGGAGATGATATCAGCATGACAGCCAGGGCTGGGTCGAGCGGGAACTCGGATGCCAAGCCGCCTAGGGTGGTCAGCTCGCCGTCGTCGTCGAGGCAGGCGAGGTAGTTGAGCTCTTCGAGAGCGCGCATCATAGTTTCGGGGGCTGGCGGGTCCATGAGATCAAAGTGCACCAAGTCTTGAACGCCGAGTTTCTTGAGCTCGAGGACCGTGTTGGCCAGGTTGGAGCGTAGAATCTCAGGATACGTCTGTTCGATGAGCTCCTTTTTGAACGCGTTTTCCGTGTATAGCCTGAAGCATTTGCCAGGCCTTGTACGACCGGCACGACCAGCACGCTGCTGCGCCGATGCCTTGGAGATGGGGGAGACGAGGAGCGACTCTACCCTTGTGCGGGGGTTGTAGATCTTTTGCTTGCTGAAACCGGGGTCCACGACGTAGACGATGCCGTCAATTGTCAAACTAGTTTCCGCAATGTTTGTCGACACGATACACTTCCGGCCCGGGCGGCCACCCTTCCGGACGGCTGCCGGGGCTTTGTCGAAGATGCGCTGTTGCTGGTGAGGCGGTAGGGTACCGTATAGCGGGTAGACTGCCATGGGCCCTGCATCCGACTCCCGGATCATCTCATCGACCTCGAGGCCGATGCGGCGGCAGGCGTCTTCAATCTCCTCCTCGCCTGTCAGGAACAACAAGATGTCGCCCTCGGGCTCGCTCGCGTGAATCTGCAGCACCGTCCTTACGGCAGCCTCAACATAATCCCGCTCCGGCTCAGGGGTATAGAAAATCTCGACAGGGTACGTCCGGCCCGGTACCGCAAGCAACGGCGCGTTGAAGAAGTAGGTCTGGAACTTCTGGGCATCGAGGGTAGCCGACATGACAATGATCTTCAAGTCTTTTCTCCGCTCGGCGATCTGCTTGAGCAGCGCCATGAGAATATCGGTGGCGAGGGTACGTTCGTGAGCTTCGTCGAGAATGATACAACCGTATCGCAACATGTCGTGGTCGTGCATCGCTTCGCGCAGTAGCTGACCGTCTGTCATGTATTTCAAGAGCGTTTTGGGCCCCGTCCTGTTTTCAAAACGGATGCTGTAGCCGACTTCCTCGCCAAGTTCCACATCGAGCTCGTTGGCGACACGCTGGGCGACTGACATAGCCGCCACTCTCCTCGGTTGCGTGCAGGCGATGAGCTTGCCGGTCTCGTGTGGCAGCTCGTCGTAGAGAACGTACTGCGGGATCTGGGTCGTTTTACCGGAACCGGTTTCACCGACGAAGACAAGAATTTGAGTGTTGTGGTACATGTCGAGGAACTCTTGACGTTGCTTGTGTACAGGCAAGTCGCGGCGCGTCTTGAGGATACCGAAGTACTGCTGCGAGTGAGGTTTGCCAGTCCACGGGTTGTTATCTTCGGATTCGGCCCTGGCCGCCTGCAGCGCCGTCGTGTTATGGCGCTCAAATTCATCGAGGGGGGACGCAACAACCTCGTTGTCATTGTAATGCGCCAGGTAGGGGTTCGGTTTTGTATCCATCTTCGCGTCGCCGTCAGTCTTGACTCGTTTGTGGTCTTGAACTCCCTCCCTCTCGGCACTTGATCGCTTAAGGTTCTTGGTTGAATCACTCATGATTGCGGTGGGAATTCCGCGAGTCGTGCCTCCTGATGAGCAAGCGTGAGAGAGTAATGCGATTGATGATCGCTGCTTCCCTTTGTGGTCGCGAGGCTGCAGCTTTTTTTCTGTTCTTGAGAGGCTGCGGCTGCCAGATTGGGCCAAACTTTTAGGTGGGGTGTCTAACGATAAGCACTTAAGGAGGAATGGGAAAACACGAGAGGGCGGGCATTGTGCATCCGATAATTGCATAACACTTATGTGATCAATCATACGAGGGCAACCAGACCCCGCACTCCACAATTAGAGCCACAGCAGGGACCCCTAAGAAAATCAACAGTGGGTTGGGTTTAGTTGGTTGCTGAGGTGAGAAGAACCTAATTGTGAGACCGGGTCCTGCTGTTGGGAATCCTCCGTTTGCACGACGCCGTACAAAGAGCAGGACCCTGGATCCTGTGATTCCTCACCAGACAGCTCCCTTCTTTTCTGTATCCACCATGGGTATATTTCAGAGTTGAATGTCCCGTTTTAGTTTTTCGATACCCCTCTGGTCTCCCCGCTTGTGTGCCCCGCCATACGGTCCTTCCCTCTTGGAGTAACAATATTTTTCTTGACCGATACCTCGTCTTTTTCTCCAAGGACCCGGGCATCGTCAAGATGTCTTCAAACTCGAGCCTCGATCCCGAGTCGGAGAGTTTCGAGAGCCGGCCCGTGTTTTATATTGGCCAACATGATTCGGCTCGGAAGGAGGCGCTCACGGACGACCAATACACGCAGGTCCTGAACAGTGGAGTAAGTCCAAGTGCAACACCACAAGCAAATGCAAGGCCGACGCTGACCCAATACAGTTCCGCTTCGTCACTGCTCCCATCACCAATCAGTATTTCCAGGACCGGGTTGTGGGCCTGCTTAGGGAGTACCTCAAGGAGCGAGAGCAATGGGCCCAGAAACAACAGGGGGCCACAGCAAGCCAGCAACCCAACCCGTCTCTACCGGGACCTGTTGTGCCGACTCTGACTGACAAGGACACCGCCTTGTTCCCTAGCGACTATCTCGGCTCCCTCGCCCTGTATTCTAGCCCCTGGATCGACTTGTGCTCTCCTGACCCGCACATCTCAAGCATCTCGCGCCAGGTCCTGAATCTTGAGGCGGCGTACGCCAACTTCTGCGGCGCTAGGACGATCGTTATCCCTGGCCCAAGACAGGATGACAGCGGCCGTGGTATCGCTCAGTATGCCCGCGCGATCCGGGAGGCAATGCACGTAGCCAACCGAGCCAACATTATCATCCACATGCCTATGTACCGGGAGCCTGGCTTGGAGGAGAAGGTGGAAACGCTTTCGTCCATCTTCAACCCCGGCAGCGACTCGGCAGGCGATGATAAGAAGAAGGAGGTCGACTTGTTCGGTGCCTGGGACTCTTGGAACACCATCAGATCCGTGTGCAGCTACTCGATGCGGTTGTTTGTTGGTAAGCTACGCTACCCCCGTCCGAGTACTCGCATACTAACTCGTCCGTAGCCATCCGAATCCCTCGGCGAGTCCCCGAAAAGACTCTCCAGGAGCGGTGGTTTGCTGAGCCGCTGCACTACTTGACCATCAGTCAAGAGATTTTCCAGGCCAATCGTGCTGGGCATCCGTCGCTCAGCAGACACCATCAGGAGCTGATCGACCGCTACATGCGCTTGAGAAGCATCCCGTGGCTGATGCTCATCGACGTTGGCCCCAGCCCAGAGGAGATCGAAAGCGCCCCAGGCCAGGCCGACACTGAATTCCCATCGCTCGCCGAGGCCAACCAGGCTCTCAGGGCGAACCGTAAGTCACTTATGAATCCACACGTGGGGTACATGAGGTATCTTGAGCGCCAGCAGCCTCCCTTTTCGGCAATGGAGACACCAGCCCTCACAAGCTTCCAGGATTGGTTGCAGCCGCCTTTGCAGCCGTTAGCCGACAACCTCGAGTCCGCAACCTACGAGGTGTTTGAGGGCGACCCGGTCAAATACGACCAGTATGAGAAGGCCATAACCGAGGCCATGATCGAGTGGAGGGAGTTAAAGAAGCCAACATCGACGGCGACCCCGGAAAATCCTTCTAGCCCCGAGCTTGTGGTCACCGTCGCTGGTGCTGGTCGTGGGCCTTTAGTGTCGCGTGCGCTGCGTGCCGCTGAGAGCACTGGCACGCCCATCCAAATCTGGGCCCTCGAGAAGAACCAGGATGCCTATGTTTACCTTCTGCGAAAGAACAAGGTGGAATGGGACAATAAGGTGACCCTTGTCAAGACCGACATGCGCGGTTGGGAGGGCCCGCGCCTCAAGGGTAGGGAAGACGTCATCGGCAAGGTGGACATCCTTGTGACGGAGTTGCTCGGCTCGTTTGGTGACAACGAACTGTCGCCCGAGTGCCTTGATGGCATCCAGAACCACCTCGCACGCCCCCACGGCATCTCCATTCCGCACTCGTACACCGCCCATCTCAGCCCCATATCTACACCCCGCCTCTTTGCCGATATCAGCTCGCGCGTTTCCGGCGACCCCAACGCTTTCGAAACTCCCTGGGTCGTCCGCCTCTTCGCCTTCGACTTCGTCGCACAGAAGGTCCCCGATCACCCGCGGTTCCAACAGGCATGGGAGTTCGTACACCCCGTTGACATCCTCCGCGCCGACGAGTTCGCGGCAGTGCACGGCAAAGCAGCCAAGTATGTCACGGGCGGCGTCGGGAGCATGTCCGGCACGAGCGGGACCAACGAGCACAACGCGCGGCATTGCCACCTGACGTTCGTGTGCCCCACGCGCGGCGTCATCCACGGGCTGGCGGGCTTCTTCGAGTCGGTGTTGTACGCGTCGCAGACTGGAGAGGGCAAGGAGCCTGTCGAGATCAGCATCCTACCGGATCAGATTGATCGCAAGAGCAGGGACATGATCTCATGGTTCCCTATTTTCTTCCCGCTTAAGGTACGCCCTCGCTTTCCTGATGTGTCGAGGTGAAGTTGTTTGCTAACGTGTCATCTCATCATAGAAGCCGCTCTACTTCCCGCAGGATACCGAACTCGAGGTCAGCATGTGGCGGCAGACGGACGACACCAAGGTGTGGTACGAGTGGCTGGTGGAGGTGTATGCTTGGGTGGGCCCGAACACGCGGATCAAGGTTGGGACGTCGGATCTGCACAGCAGCCGCAAGGTTGCCTGTTTGATGTAGAGGCTCAAATTTCAGGTCGGCCTAGTGAGGATTGTTAGCGCCCCTGGATGCTTGATGGCTCTAAGGGACGCCAACCTCTCGTCGCATGCTGAACGACGGCGTGGAGAAGTAACCCATGCCGCAACACTGCTTGCTTTGCACACATCTCTTTCTCTCCCCCCATCATATTCCTGAGTGCTCCCTCGACGCCGTGCCGTCGGACAAGTACGCCATCAGCTCCCTTCCCGTATCCCTTTCGCGAAGAGGTCTCGGGTAGCAATGCCATCCAATTCCGTGATAAAACCCCTAAAGCCTCCTCCCTCCACATTTGCCGCGACATCCTTCCTTCCCACCTTATAGTTATCTATCTCAACCCTCCATCTTGGTATCCCGATCCCCTTCCTTGTCCGTGGCCGCCGTCACGTACAGCACGTTGTTGCAGCGTATCAGTACCTGCCCCAGCGCCCCCGTGAACTTGCGGTCGATGAACTCCTCCGTGTTGCTCAGCTGGATGTTCATGTAGCTGTCGATGCTCTGTGAAGCGATGTCCCGTTAGCATCCAGTAACGCTGTTTCGGGGTTATACATCACACACGCACCACCAGTCTCCCCTTGTACTCGGTCTCGCCCCACTTGAGACGCACCACCACGTCCTTGTTGACCAGGTCCTGGAGGAAGGGCCGCGGGTTGACGGGGACGAAACTCATGGCTGCGCTTTTGTCTTAGTCGTTCTTATTGAAGGCTGAAGATAAGATGGATGGTGTGGGCGGGGGCTGGTTGGTTGTCGGCGGGGCGGGTTGGGTCGTCAGTTGAAGGCCTGGTCTGATCTGCCGTGTGATTACTGGGGGATCAAGGTACCGCTCGTGATGGCCGCACGGATTGCGTGGCAAGGCGGTCTCTAATGGCGGTGCTGTCGTCGTTGATTTTTTGGGGTCTGTCGCAAGGGTGAACTAGACGCGGCACGCGGAGTTGTGGTCGATGGAGCTGGCAGTTGATGGGCTGGGAATTTTTGGCTTGGCAGATGCAACAGCGGGCAGGCAAGGCTGGTTGGGCGATTCAGCTGAGAGCAGTTGTTGGCAGCTGTCGAGACTTGAAGCCAGCAGATGAGGATGAGAAGACCGAAATAATTAATTTCCACTCCCAACTAACTACTGTGTAGCTAGTTGTTATTTATATTTATATTCTTGCAATCATTGAAAATGCAGGTCTCTGCGTATTGTAATCCGTACAGTAAATAATCTAGCGAGCAAACCCCGACCAAAAATAGCGTACAAGATCAAACACTCCTCCCAGATCCGTCTATCCAAGCCAAAATTACTAACTGTAAAAATCCAAGAAACGTATCCTGTGAAGGGTATCCTATCCACTGCCAAAGTGAGCCCATCCCTGCTCTGCTTATCCTCGTGGGCTGGTGTGTGATAATGCAAATAAGTATGTGAGCGTATGTGCAGGTGGGGTATCGTATGAAAACCAGAGTCCAGGCTCGCAGTCGGTGCCAATCAGACTCATAAAACCATGAGATCCGCTTCGTCAACCGCAGTCTGTTGCGGTCGCCCCCGGCCGTGCCTGGCCGCGGGCGGACGATCGTACCGGCCCGGCCCGAAGATCGGGTGAAGTGAAAACCCGCCACCACGTGCCGGCAAACCAGGCCAAAGTCCCAACCAACACCGATCCGTCTGCACCCTTTATATTAAATCCAAGGCATCGGCATAGTCCCCCCCCGAGCCTGCCTATCCGTCCACCCGCTGCTCTCCGACTCGGGAGACGCTCTATCCCGCAACGACGCTTCGCTGGGCGCCTCCAGCTCGACCGCCAGATACCCCGCCGGCACCACACTGTCTCGAGACACCCCCAAGGTCGGCGCCGTTTCGAAGCCAGGTGACATCGATAGGTGTCGTTTCGAAGTGGACGTCGAGGGCGGGCGCGGCGAGGCCGCCTCGTTCGAAAGTTCAAAGGGCGGCGGCACCGTGCGGTAAGGGAGCGGTGATGCCGATAGTTCCTTCGGCGGTACTGGAGGGGGGATAGAGGATCTTCTGCTGCTGGGCCTCTTTTTCCTCCGCCATCGCAGAAAGAAGAAAAGCCCTATCGCGCCGGCGATGAGGAGGGCTGCTATCGCGGAGCCGACTCCAATGCCAATCGCTGCGGGGGTGCTGACGCCGTTTGAGGACGGGGGAAGGGGTCGGGTGGGCGCGGGGAGTTCAGTCGGAATGGATATTGGAGGCCCCGGCGTACGGCTTATGACTAAGAAGCCCTTTTGAGGTGAGTTAGATGAACAATCTCCCTCCGGGTTGCAGCGCACTCACAGGGTCATCGATTACCGGTACCGGCGTCGGATCGGTTGATTTGAAGCGGACTTGGATGCCGTAGGCTGTGATGGTATTTGATGGTTCCGTAACCACCGTTGTGGTGCCGACCTCCCCATCTGTCACCACCGTCACCCCCTGAAGCACAACCTCCGCGGCTGACCACGCCGTCGTGCATTCTATCAGAGATTGCCCAGACGAAGGGGAAGCTTGGCAAGTGTAGTCGAAGTTACTGTAAGATACCCAAACGTTTAGCTCGCTGTTCCCATACCACGCAACAGGTTCGCGAGCGGGTTGACCTACGTCGGACAACATATGACGGCAGTCTCCGTTACGGTGCCGGTGGATGCAAGGCTTGAGCAGCCGGTTGTGTACCCGTACGGACACCAGCCAGGCGAGTGGTAATTCGTCGGCGCCGGATCATAACCACTAGGGAAGCAACCGGAATCCTGGGTGAAAAGAGGTCCCTCAACATAATGCGATTCCTTTTCGGACCAGACTTGGTATAGTCGCGGAGAGTCGGTTGTGCAACTTGACGGTGCCCGAAATGTCGTTGTCAAGGCGCCGACGACCGTCATGGTTGAGCCGTCGTGTGCATCGGGCTACCGTCACCGCTCAAGCACCAGCACCACAATCCAGAAGTTGTTGGCCTCGAGAAAATGGTTGGACGTGGGCTGGGGGGGAATGGGATGAAACGGAAACAACGAAAAGAAAATCCGGAAAGTTCAAAGTTCGAACCAACGGCGCAATCTCCGTGGGCTCGAAAGCTGTGCAGCCTGGGGGTTTTCCAGACTCGACAATACGCGCCTCGCTCTTACTGTGCTTGACGCAGGCGAGAACCAGCCACTCCGTCAGGTTGGGGTCCGGAGGCGGCACGGCGCTGTTCTCGAAACTCGTCTTGGTCTTCTGCAGGAACAAGCGACAGCCACTTCCCCCTGAGGAGAAGGCTCCTCTACCGGTCTACCCCCAGACTTTTAAGACATGTTTGTTGAGACAGACCGCCGCCATCTCGGCAACTCGATGGCCCTGTCATCCGCTGCCCGCAGCCGCTTGAACTGAATTGGTCCAAAAGCGGCAATCGCACCAATAACCGGGGTTGGGTCGGGCTGCGGCTTCTGCGACCGCCTTGCGCACTCAGCTTGATTTGATCCAAAAGCCAACTGCCATTAGGGCGGTTTCAAAAGTGACGACGGAGACCATCACCGCCCGACTCGCCGGTACGGTTGCCGTTGGCGGCACGGTTGTCACCGGACGGTCCAGTGCTGCAGCTGCCAAGCTGCTGATGTGTGTGGAGCTGGTTCAGGCTGCACAACAGATTTGGGCACAAAAAAGCACTCGGCAGCCAGCACGCGATGCAGGAGCGCTCAACTTTGCCCCTTGCCTACTTCTTTCTGCCTAGCCCAGCTGAAAGAAAAAGACAATTGCGAATGTTTCCTGTAAACAACCGAGTCGCACCCGAATTGCTTCGCGTCGGCAGTTTCGTCCGGCCAGATTAGAGATCGGCGTCGTGAAAGCCGTTTCGTTGCTCTCACCGACTAGGATGCAATTGAGAGAACCAACAACGACGAAAAAAGCTCTGGGGTGAGGCCCAACAGACCACACCGTCCAGAGACAGCTGCGCCGATCAAATTGGTTGGTTTGTGGGTGATACGAGTGGGGGTCTCCAGTCGCACGATGCCCTTGGTATCATGCTAAGTATTGTCAAGAACCGATTTGAGCTCAAAAGCCGGAGTTACACATGATGCTTTTGGATTTTGGGGAGGAAACCGATGCTGGATCTTGCAAGTCAGCTTGGTTGCCGTGGTTCGAGCATGGTTCGCATTCGCGAGCTCCACTTCATGATCCTTGTCGGAGCAGACCCACTCACCAACCAAGACGGTGATGATATCGCCGATGCAGCAACTTCCCTCCCGTGGCGTTCATGAGCAATTACAAAGCCCAAGAGTTTGATCCTAAATCAAATGCACACAGTACCTGACCCTACACTGCAGGGCACTCACTCGCTGGTGCCTACCTAATATGGAATTGTTGCAGCTCTGGCCCGTAGCTGGAAGCGCCTTGCTCTTACGAAACGAGGCGTCAGAATTTGAGAAATGACAGGTAGGTGCGAAAAACGAGTACCCCAAAATTGTTTCCAAAATATTTGATCAGATACTCGGTGGGTAACAGCGATCCGTCGAATTGTGAAAAAGAGCAGATGCGGTTCATGAGCCCCAAATATATAGGATCTGACTCTGTTCCTCGACCTCTGATCACTTACATCCATCCCGCATTGCGCTCGTTCATATTGTCTCTGCATTTTACGCTCATACTCTCGCTATCATCCTCAATTAAGACTCTACATCGCATTAACCCGGCCGCCACAACCATGGCAGCCCTGTCAACTGTTTTGGCTCTGCTGGCGTCGACTGCCTTAGCCGGGCCGAGCAATGAGCATGTGTGGTCATCGGCTTCCTAGGTTCTGCACGGTGACCACACGCCGCTCGTCTTATCAGATCCGGTTCTCACACCTTTTGGGGCGAACCGGATGTATGAGAAGGGCGCTGCTTTCCGGGACCGATACCTGCGACCCTCTCGCCATGATCACCACGTCGGTATCGTAGGCATCGAGCCCAAAACCATAGATAACTCGCAGGTTCATGTGGAGTCGTCCACCGACCGCCACTCGTCCGCAAGCGCCATCGCTTTTGTCCAAGGTCTCTATCCTCCATTCCCACATGTGTCATGCGACTCCGACGTCCCTGGTCATAACTGGATGTCCGATGGCTCGGTCTTGAATTATCCCTTGGGCGGATACCAATACCCTAACATCAGAACCATCGCCCCTGACCGCGACCCGGACTCGATCTGGTATGTTTGGGTCTGACGCCAATCTCAGAGTGCGGTTTACTAAATTCGTTCTAGGGCCCATGGTCATGGTCTATGCCGTAAGCATGAACAGTCGATGCTTGCGTTTTCCAACAACAGCATGGCCAACTCGCTCCACCAAGATAGCAGATTATTCTACAGCAACCTTTGGGACAAATTGTTTTGCGAGGCATTTCCCCGCTCGGAGGCTAGCTTTTACAACGCCCACGAACTGTACGAGTACGCCGCCTATCGTTGGACCCATGAGAACAGCTCACGGTCAGCCATAACCTTGGATGACCTCGAGACCTTACGCCACCTTGCGTGGCAGCAGCAGTCACTCAAACATGGTTACTCTGAGAACGCCCAGGACGGCTCGACCTCGACCATCGCCGGCCGCACGCTTGCATCCAGGGTCGCGGCTCTGTTTACCGAAAACATTGAGACCCGCGGCGAGCGGAACAAGCTGAACCTCGCCTTCACTTCGCACGAACCTTTCCTGAGTTTCTTTGCCCTGGCAGACCTCAATGCTGGGCCATCTAGCGACTTATTTTCGCAGCTCCCTGAACCTGGCGCGACGTTGACATTCGAGCTGTTTTCTGTCGACGAGTCTGTTGATTCCTACGAGGCCGAATCTCTCACTGGCTCCGATGCCTATGGCTCCGATCCCTCTGACAACAACGATGATGCTTACAGCCAGACCGACTCGTACGGCAACACACCGGGGCCCTACGGCGCCAAAACTCGCCGTAGTCTGTACAGTGACCACGAAGCCACCTACGACCAGAAGAGCATTGGGGCCTACTCCATGCAGTCCCCTCCTCATCAGGAGCCCCTGTGTGCCCCGAGCCCAACCCATAATAGCAACGACAACCCACCCTACCCCTCCGCCGACAAACTTTACGTCCGTTTCCTCTATCAGAACCACCACAACGGCAGCGCCGCCGACAAATACACCCCCTGCCCTCTATTTGGTAACACGCAAACTTCAATCCCCTTCAAGCAATTCCACGAGATCATATCAACCATCGGCATCGCCAATGCGACGACCTGGTGTCATGCGTGCGAGAGCACCAACTCGATCTTTTTCTGCGAGGGCGCCGTCATTGCCCACGACGAGCACCATCATCACCTGCTTGCCGTGCTGCTCGGATCGGCAAGCACGTTGCTCGCAGTCGCGGTCGTTCTGGCACTGATTGGGTTACTGACATGAGTCTACGCTGGGGGGCGGAGATTGCGCTGGGCTTGGAAAGGATAAATAATGAATGGTAATGATAATGTTCTGTCGTTGATGGACTTGACCGGGGGAGGTTGGGTCAGGGCTTTGGGATGGTTGCTCGTTCGCGCCCTAGACCTGGTGTTATTCAGTTTCATTTCGTAGTCTACCTATGTAGTATTCGTAAGTGAATATACGCTTTTATCGCTGGAAAGGGGTGATTGGCTCGCCGCCATGCCCTGGTACATTCTTTGCTAATGTGGGCTCGCTGCGTCTGTCCACCAAGCTTGTCGTGGTCCTCCGTGAGATGAGATGTCCGGCCTCCCCCCCTGGCCAAAGGTTGGGAATAATCTAGATTGCCATGACCCCGCTCCTCTGGCGACCCGGATGCGCACCTGGGGCGTGGCTTCGTACCACGGGACCGGCACCGTGCCGCAAAGGAAGTGATACGAAGGAGTTGTCCCGGCGTTTCTAACGTCGCCATGTGGCACGGTCACGGCGAAGCCGATCGGGGGCGGTTTTGGTGGTGCTGGTGGCACTGTACAAGAGAGTTGGGGTTGTTTGGGGTAAGTGCTTGGGAGTTGGGGTAATATTGGGGTACGTACCGAAGGTGGGGGGTTGGGGTAGCTTCTGGATTGGGGGGAAGGAGACTGGGTTGGGGATAGGGGGATAGGGGGATAGGCGGACGGGATGAGGAGGATGGGGGGATTAGGGGACTGGAGGAGTAAAGGGAGTATGGTTCATGGGGCGTTGGTTTGGGTTAGATGAAGTATGGGTGGTGATGTGATGGAAGCGTGGTTGGGAGGAAGGGTTCAGTGAACCCCTAACTCGGGGAGTTGATAGTATGTGCTGTGCGAAAGCCCAGTTGTATGTATATATTGATGCAAGTTTATGAAACCTTTGACTATTTACAACCAGCAAAATGACACTTGAAAGCCAGGCGCTGTTCTGTTGTTTGCGGTGGTATGTAAAATCAACACCATCTCATGCTGAGCAATGCCTCTGATAACCAGATCAACCAAGTCCCAACTATTGCAATCTTCAAAAAAAAAACCCAAGCCAGTTCCAAAACGCCAGCCAATGCAGATGACACAACCCAACATCGAATCTCTAGCGCGCACCACACCTCCCATCCATCTACACCACAATCCCCCTCTGCGACCACCCACCCTTCCCTTTCCACGCCCACAGCACCAGCCCACACGCAACCCACACACTAGCAGCCATAGCCCAAAATGCAGGCGCGTAGCATTCCTCGCCGTAGCACAAGTTATCCTGCTCCCCACCACCACCTTCCCCAGGCGACCACGCGCCGCGCTTCGCGGCCCCCTGGTAGACAGCCGAGTAGACCAGCCCCCAGAGGGTGGCGCCGAGAGCGGGGAACATGGCGACGATGCCCCAGTTGGTGGCGAAGTTCTCGACGCCCCAGATGACGGTGATGATGATCGGGGTCAGGCTGAAGACGGCGCCGTACCCGGCGCCGACGAGGCCGGACACGACCCAGAAGCGGTCGCCGTGGCCCTGGACGAGGCCCGATGCGAGGCCGGCCAGGCCGAGGGACAGCAGGGTGGCGAAGAAGAGGAGGAAGGAGACGCGCGAGATGGAGAAGCCCCGGGCGGGGAGCAGGCGCCGCGCGGTGGCGGTGATTTGCACGTGTTGCGCCTTGGGGCTGGGCGCAAGCAGATCGGTGAGGGTGCCGGTGAGGAGGCGCACAGCGGTGCTGGTGATGCCGACGATGGATACGTGCGTGGCGGCTGAGGTGGGCTTGCCTTCGTAGTGGACGGTGGGCGGGTAGAGGGTCTTGATGACGGTGCCCATGTTGTTGAGGAAGGCTTCGCCGGGGCCGATCATGAAGAAGAAGCCGAGGGCAAAACACCACATGGTGTGGTCGGTGAGGAACCGGCGTGTTTCGGCGTTCAGGACCCACTGTTTCTTGAGTCGGGCTTCCTCCTCGGCGGGGTCCTTGACATCCTCAAGCTCGTCGAAGGGGTCACCCCGCTCCACCGCGCCGTAGTTATGTTCTGTTCTCCCAGGGGTAAACATGGCGCTGCCATCTAGTATGCCGCTCCGCTCCAGCTCCTCGACAGCTTCCTCAATCAGGTCGTTCTCGTCCACGATCCTAAGCCCAAACGCCCCGATCACACCCACCGTCACGAGCAACACGGCGAGGAACACGAACAGCTTCACCACGCTCACCTCCCCATCCTCGGCGCTCGAGTCCCGATTCAAAAACAAGTGACTCGCCAGCTGGCTAATCCACATGCCACTCAGCCCAAACGCAGCAATCGGAAGCGCCACAGCCAAACCCCTATGCTTCCCCCTCCCAAAATTCTTCGCACACGTCGCCACGGCACCCATATACATGGCACACGTCCCCACCCCAATAGCCACAAACGCCAACACCATCAGCGGATACCACTCATCCGCCGCCTTCCCACCACCACCTCCCCCGCCGGCAGCCACCGCCCTTTCGGCCCTCGCATACGCCGCCGCGGCACCCGCATACCCGGCGCCAAACATGACCGCGGCCAGCACGGACAGCGGGGCTGGCCCCGCGCGGTCGCACAGGTAGCCGAGCAGGGGCACGGGGGCGTACATGGCGACCGACGCGGCCGAGGCCAGGCCGTTGACCTCAAACTGGGTGTAGCGCAGGCGGCGCTGCAGGATGTGGCCGTACAGCGAGAAGATGGTGATGGAGCCGGCGCAGAGGGCCGAGAGCAGCGCCGAGAGGAGCGCCGTAGTGCGCAGGAGGTGGGTGCGCCGGTGGTTGCTGGTGCTGGTGGTGCTGCTGCTGGTGTGCAGGGAGCTGAGGGTGGAGGTCGTGCTCGGGGAGGGGGAGGAAGAGCGAGGACGGAGGAGCGGGGTCGCTTCGGGGCCGTCGGTGTCGTTGCCGTTTTCATCGCTGTCGCCGGGACTGGCGCGGCGGGTTGGGAGGTAGGGCATCTCGGCGGTGGGCGGTGGGCGGTGTAGTGTGATGGTTGTCGGGGGGTGGTTGAATGGGTGAACCTGGTCGCTGGATGACTGTTGTCAGGTTCGGAGTTGGTGGCCTACGAGGCCGTTACGGATTGGGTTGGTCGAAGTAGACTGCTCGCATGTTCACCACAGTACGGCAAAACGTAACCCTCAATACCTAGATGCAGGTACAAACACGGCACGCGAGTTGGATGATGGAAGTGGCGGTGGGTTGGTGATCATGTCTGGACCCTGGATTTCGGGGTGCTCGGATCCGAAACGCCGCGTCGTTGGGGCGCGGCAGCGGAGCAGATGACCTCAGAGGGGCCGTGCACACGTAGGCAGACTATGCGGTCTTTCCTATTTCGGTTCCACTTTTGATGAAAGCATCGCGAGGATTGGGAAGAAAGGGAAACGAATAGCTTCCTTGATCGGATACATGTCAATCTCTGCCAAATAGAATGGCGAATATCATCAATTTACGAGGGAAAAAAAAGGCTGTTTTCTCTTGCTCTCAGTTAGATGTTTCTGACGATCACGGCAACCATAGGTAGTTTTATCCCTTTTCGCTTGGGGTCGGTTCTCACTCGCAATACACAAAAGATTCTTGCCAAGATAAGATAATCCAAAGACCTGGCTTTTCATTCAAAACGGGTAATTTGAACCATAGACAACACTGTTTCGGCTTCACATAACCCTCGCCCAGGATCCGAGGCTAGGATCACCATCACTCCGTCTTCGCCGACCTCCCCCTAACCCACGCCATGCCCTTTCGGAAATCATCACCAACCTTCTCATTGTTATCCCTCGCCTTCTCCAACCCGCCCATCCTCAGCCCACCAGGCAACAGCAACCACATCAGCAGGATAAACACCAAGATGGCCAGCACCACTGGCTGCAGCACCTCGACGCCCTTGCTCTGCGCGATAGCGCCAACCGCAAATGGGAACAGCGCGGCACCACCGCCACCAAACGCCGCAGCAAACCCAATGGCCGAGACGTGATAATCGCGCGGCAGCAGCTTCGTAGCAGCGACGACAGCAGCGGGAAACAGCGGGCCGAGGAAAAAACCCAGGAAAGTGACAAACGTCGCCGAGGCGGCAAAGTTGGGCACCAGCCAGTACAGCAACTGCAGGGCAACCGACAACAACAAGTAAGCAGCAATCGCCAACTTCTCACCAATCATGCCCGTCACAAACCCCAACACAACCCGCCCCACAGTCAAGCCCAGCCAAAAGAACGTCGCCGTCAAGCCCGCCATAAACGGCGGCGCATGCCGCACGCGCAGCATAAAGGTCGTGATCCACCCGCCCAGCGACACCTCAGCGCCAACATAGCCCAGCAAAAACAGCGCGACCAGCCACACCACCGGCGAGCGCAGCACGGTGCGGGTGGTGGTGCGCGGGGCGCCGTTGCTGGCCTCGAGCATGGCCGCGCGATGGACCTTGGCAGTGGCGCGCCAGAACGCCGGGACGGTCAGGAACAGCGCGAGCCCGTCGGCGCCGACCATGACATAGTAGAAGGTGTACCAGGGGAGGCCCGCGCGGGTGACCATGGCGGTGGCGATCAGCGGGCCGATGGTGGCGCCGAGGCCGTAGGCGCCGTGCAGGAACCCCAGCAGCTCGTTGGCGCGGTGCATGTTGCCGACCCAGGCGTTCCAGGCCGAGTCCTCGATGCCGTTGCCGAAGCCGGTGAAGAGGAGGATGACGGGGAGGGCCGGGTAGGGCGGGTGGAAGATGAGCGGGATGATGCCGATCAGGCGGGAGATGGGGCCGAGGATGGCCACGCCCAGTTGGCCGAAGTGGTGGTGGATGAGGTTGTTGAGGAGCGCTGCGAGGAGGTAGCCGACGAATGGGGAGAGGAAGACGAGCGAGACGACCGTGTAGCTGATGGAGTAGTACCCTTCGATCTGCGGGGGGAGGGGGAGGGGTTAGTTGGCGTGAAAGGGGTTGGGAGGTTAGAGGATTGATAACGGGGGTGAAACATACGTATGGGAGCAAGGCCTGAGATGAGCGTTAGTCAGGGTTGTTGGTTGGTTATTCAAATTAGGGAAGGTAAACATACACCGAGCGCGCCGTCCGTCATGCCCATCAGGATGAAGCAGTAGATAGTGGTGAAATAGCGGAAGATGTTGAGGGGCGTGTCGTTCCATCGCTGGAGTTTCGAGTCCGGCTGCGGGGAACCGGCTCCCGATTCCTCGTCGGTGGCATCCCCAAGGGGCACCGCCTTTTCGGTGTCCTCGCCGCCATTCTGGGTGGTGTTTGAGTCGATGTGCTGCTCGCGCTTGGCCGGGCCATCAGAGGCAGCGGTTGCCATAATGGACTCGGGTGGGCTAGACTTGACTAGTGATGGAATTGGTCGCGGAATCAGGCGAGGAAGCACTCATGCACGACTCAAGGAGACAAGAGTCTTCTAGGGTGAAGCTATCGCGAAGGGTGCGATGACTTTTTATATAATGGCAGTTGGCGCCCCACCCCCCAACTCCGGGGCGGCGCGGTGCTCCCCGATCAAGACGTCCGAATCCTCTTTCCGACCGACCCTCTTGACTGCCCACGTGTGAAGGGCGTAACAATTGCTCATCCGGGGAGGACTGCAGGGTCGCAGAGCAGATATGACATGCCACAAGCGGTCAAGCGCTGGGGAGGCATGTCCGGTACTCGTCCGAAGGCTAGACAAGGGCAATGTTTGAGAAAAGCACTGAGAGGGCTGGCAGGCCAGACCGCGTATTGCACTTTGCAGACCCGTTGTGCCATTTTCGCTGTTGGTTGTGGGGCTTTATTCCCGGCCGTGATGCCAAAGTGGGACTCTGGGCCCTTGCCGCGCCCGCAAGAAGCTTCCTGCGCTGAGGCGGGGCCGCCGCGGCGGCTTGGCGAAGTCGGGGGACTCTCTTCCCATCCCGAAGATCAGCCAAAGATGAACCGCCGGGCCGCACCTACCGTCTCCGGGAACGGCAACTCCGCTTCCCCACCACAAAACTCCGCCGTGTCGACAACCGTTTCAACATCCCACATGACCAGCTTCACTTTTCATCTGCAACTAATATGTTGCATCGCTATATCGCCGGGGATTATCACCAAAAACGACGGAATTCGTATGGATGCACTGGCTCGGGTTCTCTTTCCCCGGACCCACCTGGAGTGAGATCTCGGACGGCGTCTCCTCCACTTCCTCCTGACCCTGTTATTTCATCTATCACAAAACACAATGCCCCATGGGCAGAAAAGGCCGAACTTCAAGTGTAGGTGCTTACGGAGCCTTAGGCCTGAAGAACTAAAAGAAAGACATCTGGAAGCCCATAATCAATACGCATGGCCATACCTATAGCCATTAGGGAGAGGGATTGGAACACTATGAGGCAGCCTTGGAAGTATTGCTTATGGTAGGTAAACTTTTGGGGAATGTGCATACCTCCTGCCCTTCGATCCGTTGGTAGCCATGATCCGACCATATTTGCACAGTACGTTGATGAAGCTCTATTCTGTCTGGTGACGATAAAGTGAAATGTTATGTTTAGTCACTCAACTCTCTATCGCCCCTTTCAAACGAGTAAAGACTAATTCTTGCTGGCTTTTCTAGAGATCGATGAATCCTATGATTAAATTGTGTACGCTTCTCGTCTCTGCCACCTTTCACGACCACGAATACAAAACTCAAACCGCCGCTCTCCGCCCCATTCATAAGCTACTATGGCAAGATCCGACAAGTCATCTATCCAAAAATCCGAAGCCGTCCACCGCGAGATGAAGGAGCAGGATTCCAATACAAGCATTGCCACCATCGCCGCCAGTCCGGTCCCCAGAACGACGACGACGAAGATTAAAACCCAGCGAATTTTTACTGTCTGGGGAGTTTACGAACTGAACTGAAGATAGGCAGCAAAGTATACGTTTTTTCCTTGCTATTCCCTATTTTCTTAGCATTTCCCCTTGCCCAGATGTTCTATCATATCATTACTTTTGCCCCTACGCAACATGAAACGCCAGATTTCGCGGCCACTATGGGCAAACATCAAAGTGTTCCTGTGGGCGGGGATATTGAATCCAGCCAAATAACAAAACCTGTCCACGATCATAATCATCTCATCGTTCAGTACCTAAGCGCCGTCAACACTCCACGGCATACTATCAGACGTGGCAAGTGTGAGAAACTCTATCAGGATGCAATTTTGGACTATTATACAGCCAACCCTTTGGCAGGGTACGCAATTGCCCAAGCGCTCTATGCTCTATGTGAAGCATTCTCGCCGTGACAAAACAGAACCAGATCCCGCCCTAGAGTTCACAAACAAAAGAAAAAGGGACCAAGCTTTTTACCCCCCAGAAATCCGCGCGAAAAATGCCAGATACACCCTCTGTCGTGTGTCGTGTTGTTTTGTCTTGCCTTGAGCAAGCTAGACAAGGGGGCCTTGCAACACCCAAGACATCCCAAAACCTACCCCTCCTATCTCCTAGCCGCTCTGCCCTCTACTCTCTATCCTCCCTGCACTAACTCCCAGATCGTGACGGCATTTATTTGCTGATCTCAACACCACCGGTAGCTGTGACAAACATTTCGTCAGTTTATGAGGCTGGAAACAGGCGGGGCAAGACGTAGGGAGTATGATGCGGGGGTGGGGTTGGAGGAAGATATAACGGAAAAGCACGTACCGCCGAGAATCTTCTTCACGTCACCGTAGATGGCGAACTGGCCGGCAGTGAGGGTGCCGACCATGAAGAGACGGGCACCAATACCGGCGTAGGAGCCGCGGAGACCAAGCTCCTTGGCGATCTTGATCAGGCGAGTGGTGGTGCCCTCACCAGGGGCGCCCTTGGTCTTGTTGATCTTGCTGAGCATGGTGTCGGCGGGCTGCGAGACGATGGCGGCGGCGAAACCGGCCATCAGACCGCTACCAAGGTTGACGACGGTCTGCATGCCGTCGGACAGGTCCTTCTTGGGGAAGACGCGGAAGACGGCCTCGGCGACCTTCTCGTACACGACGAACTTGGTCATGGTGTAGGGGATCCTGAGGACCGGGTCAGTACGCACACACGCAAGAGCCACGGTGGGACCGGGGTCGAACTTACTGCTTGAACAGGATGGGGCCGAAACCGGCGTAGAAAGCGCCGACACCCTCCTGCTTCAGCATCTTGCCGAAGCCGCTGACAAGGCCGCTGGCATAGGTGGGCTCGGAGACGAGACGGATACGGGTGGCCTCGAGCGGGCAGAGGGCAATATCGGCGAAGAACTCGGCGAGGGCGGACGAGGCGAGGTAGACACCAGTCCGGTAGTTGGAGGCGGTCTCGTAGCCGAGGTAGTTGATCGAACTGCTGCTTGAAGAACTCGTAACCGCCGAACTTGAAAGGCGCCCTGGAAGGAAGTAACCGGCGAAGGTAGGGCCGACACCGGTGAGAAGGGCACCAGCGCCCTCGGCCTGAACGACCTTCTTGAAGCCGCCGATCATGCCATTGTTGTAGGTGACGGGGTCGAGCTGGATACGGGTCTTGACGCTGTAGGGAGTCTAGCGTTAGCCGCGAGTGATTTCGAGGAAGCGACTGGACGCCCCTCGGCACGTGCTACAGCATGATGCGCGGGGGTCCGTGACGGACAAGCACGTACACATCGACGGGGGTCATGCCACCGTGGGTGACGGAACAGCAGATGGCGCCGGCGAGGGCGAATCTGGAGTACAGCTGAACGCCGCTGAGTTGCGGTGCCGGAGCGTCGACCTTGGCAGCCATTTTGTCTCTTTAGATATTAAAGGAATAAGGAACTGAGTGGAGTTGTTATTGACGCTCGGATGATCGCGAGGGTCGGCGTGGGGGGTCAGGTCAATTGGGCCTGGTGAGAGGTTTCCGAAGTGGTTGGCAGTGAGCCTTTTTGGAAAAAGTGAGGTACGGACGGGTGGCTTAAGTTCGGGAAAAGGCTCTTGAAAAAATTGACCGGTAAATCCCGGACACACGGGGATGCGGCGATGCACGGGCCAACAGCCTGAACTTCGCGGCTTGGCTGGCTTGGTTCGCTTGGCGAGTTTTGTTTCTCCCGCCCTGTGGTGTTTTTTATCTCCGAGTCTCAAAACTCAAACCCCTCCCTCACATCGACTCAACGATCAATCTACATGTACATGGCATTCAAAATGATATGAATTCTCCCGTATATTAGCAGTCCTGGACACATCGTCTTCCTATCCTCCGCCATATTTTTGTGCCTCTTTTTTGTTCTATTCCTGGCGCAGTCATGAGGCTGCGATTGTTTGCTGTGTTTTCAGTTGGTAAGAACGCTGCGGTCGGGCGGAGGCTTGGCGGACCTGTCAGGGCAGTCCCTTGGTGCATGTGCCTCGCTGACTCGACATGGTGCCTTCGCTCGCCATTGGGTGTTTCAAAGATCTGTGGCGCGGCGGCATTTCACCGATCGGGGGCGTACCAGAATAACGAGGCTGATAGAAAAGCCTCATGTTTGACCTTTCATCAGTCGCATGTTCTGCCACTGCCTGACTCGGTTGCCAAAACCACGACCTTGGACCTTCGAAGCCATGGAATACCGCCGTTTCCGGGCAATCATAACGATTTGTGATCTTCGCCTTGCCATGCCCGAGTTACCTAATACATAGGGTCTCCCTGGCTTGGCGGCCAACCCAACCCCTCCCGGCTCGCGAGTCGCCCCAGGAAGCGGCGACTTTCCGGAGACATGCCTCATCCGCTCGCCCTTGTGCGGAGTTCATCTGCCAACCTCAAGAGGTAGAACTCCCTAGCCTCGGCCGGTAACTTCTTGAAGCTATTTGCGATGCGGGCAACGTCTTGCCTCCCCTTTTCGTAGGCAGCAAGATCCCGGTTTCCGTAAACGTCCCGGCCGGGAGCGTAGTGGTCTGCCTCAAGGTCCTTGAAGAAGACATTTACTGCAATGCTCTTGTCCGAGGTCGGTGTCGCCGTGTGTAGCCAGAGCGGAGGCAGGAATAAAACATCCCCGGGCGACAGGATAGCTTCGTTGGGATGGGTGTGGGCGAGTCTATGTGACTGTAGTGACGAGAAGACATCTATGCTGGAGCTCGAGGCCCCGGGAGAAAACGACAAGTGCTCGACGTCTGATGGCGGGAAAAGGAGGAGCCGTTTTGAGCCACCGATCTGGCAATAAACATTCGCCATAACCTACACGCTCTCAGTTAGGACTTTATTATAACGCGGATCAGGCATTGAAGAGAGGGAAAGGGTAAGAGTGGGAGACTAAGATGATGTGAAAAAGAAGGGATGAATAACAAAAGTAAGAAATATAAAGAGGGCGGGGGGCGGCGGTGGAATAATAGCAAGGGGGGACGGGGCTCACTTACATCATAATGTAGCCACATGTTCACTGGTCCAGACATCCTCAATACTGAGCTGAATAGGTTCTCCGCCACCAGTGAAAGCTGGGCGGGCAACACGAAGTCGGGTGCCAACGCTGGGAAGTCATCTGCCAACAGCGCCGGTTGTTCGGACGGCTTGTCGTGTGACAGGGCCCTCAAGTACACCCTATCGCCTTGTTCTATCCTCTGGGTAAAATGACCAAACTCAGCGGTGACATAGCGGAAGTTCTTGGCGGTAAAATCCATCGCCTGGGTCGCGGCCTCGTGAATAACGATCTGTCCGGGTTAGCAACGCATCGGCTTGTAGAGAGTGCAATATTCTACCTTCCGATCAGCCCCAACTTTGTTAATAAGGCAATCCAATGTCCAAGCCGATACACAGTGACCTAGATCTAACCCTTCCAGTACTACCGGCTTTCCATCGCGTACAATCTTGAGAAAATCGTCCGCAGTTTGTAACTTTAGTCTAGGGATCGCGGTAATTGGAGCCGGTTCGCCGATATTCTCGGGTTTAGGAGCAGCCGGAGGTCTCCGTTGGATCGAAACAATATCGATCGTTTTCTCGTGCACCCATCTGGAGGCAGATGAGGAGATACCCTCCTGTCCGCCTCCCAGTTTAGGAATCCGGAGGGTATACACTCCCTTATTCCAGAAGGTGCCCATGGAGAAGCAGGTGGCGCCACCCCCTACCACCACAATACGGCCGTCTGGTATCGAGGCAACTGAATGCCCGACGAACAACGGGCGTGGTTTTGGCTCCCCTTCCCCTGATACCTTACCAATCAGTCGGCTGGTGATGGTGATTCCGCCTTCCTCTAGAGAGCATAACAGCACCTCGTCCCGATGACAAAGTAGATGATCCCGGGCTATGCCACCTAGGAGAACAAGCTTATCCCCTCGTTGGAGGCAAGTTGCGCCAAATCTTGTGAGAAGCCAAGAAACGTCCCTTTCCATACTTTTACTAATCGTCAAGCGGTTGAATTTAATGGTGGGTTTCTGTGATCATGTCAGTTTCGTGCCCTAGTGTAACAAAACGGTAGGGGCATACGTTGATATCTGAGACATTGGCTTCCCAGGATAAGATTTGGTCGGAAACCAGCGCATCTTCTAGACCACCTGCGTAAACACCACTGAAAATTCCCGTGGTACTCTCGCCCCTGCAAGAGAGAGCTGCCCCGTACACCGAAGCCGGCTTTTCGCCGACGATCTCGCAGTCCACCCACCCCGCAACAGGATGGTACAGAAGGCAACCGCCGAAAGCCTCGGCCACTCCCCTACCGCCAACCAGCAAGGCGGTACCAGACTGACCCAAAGCTACAACGGAATGCCGGTACAGGGCTGTGGGAAGGCCGTGTGTCTGAGTCCAAGTCTTCGTGTCCTTGTTGAACAACCAACAATCCGCGAGCGGGACTGAAGGTGAGCCCCGCCCTCCTGCCAACAAAGCTCCTCCGTCTCCGAGGTCCGTTAAAGAATGGCACATTCTCGTCGCTGGGCCTCCCTCGCCGAAGGTGACTGCCTTCTCGCCCTCAATAGTACCTGAACGGAAGAGATCGCAAGACTGCAACCGGCTCTTGGTGCCTAGGCCCAAAGCATTGAGCACGAACTCCTGCGCCCCATTCTTTCCGTTCTGAGGCAATCGCATGCCCGCCCCAAAACGCCGCTGACCTCTAACACCGGAACATTCGTCGAAATGCATCTCCACCACTTGCGCTTGAACTTGTTCGGATTTAGAAGGCACAGGCGGAGGTGGTACCACAGCAGGGTTGCTTCCTGTCCTCGCATGTACAACGCAGTAATGGCTCGCAAAGAGGGCAAACTCCTCCCACTCATCAAACTGCTCGATCTCGTCCAGCTGGAGGCGTTCGGACTTGGACAGGAAGGTCTCGTCGGCCCACGCTTGCCAGAGGGTCCGGACGTTGACCGAGTCCCAGCCACGGGATGAAAAGCGCGCATGTTGGTCCGTCACAGTCGGGTAAGTGCTGACCGACTTGAGCTGCGTGTTGAGCTTATCGAAATGGCTCAGCATGGTCGAAGCGAAGGGGTGGTCCTCGCCATCGGGTAGAATCTGTTCCAGGAGAACGAACTCAGCTGGAGAATGTCAGCAGCGCAAACCAGGGGCTCATGTACCCCGAAAGCACTCACCACGCCCCACAGTGGAAGCCCACCGGATAACCTCATCTGCGCCCTCCCTTTCCATATACGTGATGGACACCTCAGCTACAAAGATAAACTCGCACGCATCAAAGTCTCCCACCGCGGTAGCTAACCCCCGCCGCAGCGTCCCGAGCTCCCTCAGATCACACCCGATCTGCACATACTGGTCACTCTCAAACACCACCGGCGCAGCCAATCCAGCAGCCTCTTTCACTTCCGTAAACATGCCCACCAGCTCAGGCGTTCCAACTACAGTCTGCCGTTTCCTCTCGATCAGATCGGGAAAATCGACATCCACAAACTTCACGCCGCCACACTCCCCCGGATACCGGGTGAGACACTGCCACGGAAGGACATCACTAACCCCGTTAGCATCAGCCCACTCAGCACCACCAACCAACCAGCCCCGCTTCCCCCCCCGGGAAAGAAAGAACGAAAAAAAAAAACTAACCTCCCACACCCCAAATTCACAACCACGCCCCGCCTCCCCCTCCCCTTGACCCCCCGCAAAAAGTCCCGTACCAGCACATCAATGGCGCGCAAGCGCAGCCAGTAGCCGCGGTTGATGAGCGGGGCGCGGCGCTGGAACTTCTTGACAAAGTGGCGGAAGAAGGGCGGCTCGGCTGGGTAGTACAGCTTCTCGACGCTGCGCTTGGAGACGATGCTGCTGTTGTTGGTCTGTTTTGTGTGTGGATGGGGGGGGGGTGGGTTAGTGGGTGAGTTGGGGGGTGAATGGTGAGGAGGGGAAAAAGGGGGGGTATGAGGGAGGGAGGGAGTGAAGGAAGGGGGTGCGTACCGCCATGACTTGGTCGTCCTGGGCTTTGGCTTGGGCGGATTTGCTTGCTGGCCCGGTGGCGGGGTTGTCGCCTTGGGGCGCGGGCTTGGGTTTCCGTGTCATTTTCCTCTGCTTGTTGGGTAAGATAAGTTGAGCCTGGGGTTCTTGATGAGGCTTCCGTATGACTTCTCAAGTTGTGTTGAGTTAGTAAGGTAGATGAGAGCGATAAACTGCTGCTTGAATTCCCACTTTTCTGTGCAAAATGCAGAATTCCTGTCCTGTACGACACATTCCGCACTGTGGGGTTCCTCCCGCTCGGTATCCTCGACAGCAGTAAAGGGGACTTTTATACACAAGTGAGAGCGACCTCACCGGTGTCGTAGCCTTGAGAAAACGTACCATATACAAGTAAAAAAAAACACCTCTCATTTGTGTTTCAAACACTAACCTACTTAAGCACTTAATAATCTGTCACGCAAAGTTAAAAAGGGGGATTGGTAGTTAAGATCAGGGTTAGGGCTATGTATATGTTCCTGGTCGCCGGGCAACGAGCCCCTGAACCAAGCATCGTCCTGCGAAGACAAGTATATGGTTCGCCGTGAGACAACAATGCAACTCCTCCATATGCCTTTGGCACCTACTTAATGCCGTTTCTGGTCCTTGGTCATCTGGCTGTTCTTCTGAGCATTCAGTCGAGCCTCTTCAAGGCGGCGTCGGGTGTTCTCGTCGATTTTGGTATCCTCGCCACAGGCATCTTCCTCCTCTTCCTCTCCCTCTACATTAATAAGCGCCTTTGTAGGATTTTCCAGGTTAGCCTTGCTCTTCAGAACGGCCCGGGCAATCTGGGTCTTGTTGCGCTGAGCCCAATACTCTCGGAAAGCTGCAAAACCGAAGACGTCAGCAAAACTTACCCTCGAGACATTGAATCGCAAAGAGAACAGAATCCGGCGATACTCACTTTCAGCTTCTGAACCCTGCAACGGATCGTGGGGGTCGAAACGATGTTTGTCAAGACCATTAAAGGGCTCCGACTCGGAAAACCCGAAGAGACGAGCCCGTGCCATTGGGCCCATCGGGGAAAGGTCGCGTCGCTGACCACATGCAGCGGAAATTGTAAAGCTCTTTCGCGGTGTTTTTGAGCACTGGGTTTCGGTGTTGAGCTGGTCAGGTTCGTTGACGGGTTTGGCTGATTGCGATCCAATTGTATTTTCTGGTTTGAAGAATATATTAACACAAATGGCCTCTATCGACAGGTTCAACCATGTAGCGTGGCAAACAAAACGTCAAGGGACTCACAGAGAGAGGAAGATGAATAGATGAAGGTTGGGTAGGGACAGGTAGTTTCTTGTAAGAGGAAAGCTGACATTGATGCAATAAACAAAGCGAATGTGAGCAACCGCTGGAAAGAGCCCCGCAGCGATTTTCATGGGACGAAATCAAAAATGTATTGTGTCACCTATGCCTAGCTACCTACCTAAGCTATTCTAATGAGAGCCGTTAACTTCTGTTTCTCTTGGCTTTGGACTACTCGCATTGTGGTACATAGACGAGAAATATGACTAATGATCTGAAGGAGGACTTGACTCTCTTCCCTGAAGGATTCAAGCCCTCCTTCAACCTCGCCGCTAACGGATAGTTAGGATCCACGCGGCTTAACCATCGAATTCTTGGCCGACCATGGCCATGGCAATGAGAAAGCCAAGAAGGGCAACAAGGTTTCCAAGACTGGGTCGATAACCGGAACTACGCATGGAATCCTTCACCCAAAAAAGCCCACGTACGCGATTTACCTGCGGATGTTGGGGGGTGTTTCCGTCCCCTTTTACTCGCAAGAGAATATCGTCCTCGAAGCATCACCAGACAACCGTTTTGCCGCCCTTGGAGACTCGGGCGCCGTACCACCAGAATAAGTTTTGCACCACATAGGTATCTTACTTAGAACCATCCTAGTAACAACTCAGCCTGCTTCACTTCCCTAAGGATTTGACTCTCAAAACCGCCACAAACATCAAAGAGGATGACTTCAAAAAGCTATTGATAGCAGCGGAGCAAATCTCTGCCAAGGAACTCATTTCCTTATCCAATGCCTTGTTTCTTGCTGGCAGTCTACGACCAAAACCACTCACCCAAGCCCACTCCAGCCACAGAACACAAAGCGAGGATGTGCGCCAGTTGCAGCCATGGAGGGCCAGCTTTGCTGGGGCTGCTACAGCGAGTTAGCGGCTGGTCCTGGATGTGAATGACATTTATGTGAACTCTGGATTGGCCCCATCCCCAGGCCATTACAACTGAGCATTTGGGGTTTCGACAGCTAAACTAAGGCTCCGGGCCATCCTCCATCCTAAACCTTCATGTCCATCCTAAGCTTTTGTGTGTCCGTCCCAGGTTATTGTGTCTGTCCAGGAATAGGTCCCTATGTGGTCCGTCTTAAGCATCCATTGGCTCGACTTAAGCCACAAAAATAAAAAAAAATAAAACAGCGAGTTTCAAAATTTAACCTTGTCCACTTCCTGCCAGATGCTTCACCAAGAAACACCCAATTTTCTTCCACCTTCACGGGGCCTAGGCACCGCACTGTGCACGATACCACTACCATATTAGGGGAACGGACAATGGATTCTGATAAGGCTGCCACTGACTTAGAGATCGCACGGGGAGTTTGGTTCAGACAGGGTTTGCTCACAGGGCGTCAAGAATTTTGGGATGTGAGCTTTGCCCCGGCTGATGATTAGATTCGCAAAGGTATACTTGGCTAGGTACTCGTGTACATACCCAATTAGTCAATTAACCTGTTGGTTGCCCCGCTAGTATTTGAGTGATGTTCTTGCGAAATTAACTAATGTGCAAATGTGGGCGGGTTGCAAGGAACTAGAGCAACTTTCCGTGCCTGCGCAATGTGTTGTGTGAGATCGAGCCCCAGAGTCAAAGTAGAGTGAGATCGATCGTAGGTGATGAGGAATAAAGACACCGAGGAGTAGAAAGAAAACAGCAAGGCAACAGAAAAGAAGCAGCGAGTTCCCTAAAGCTTCGAATTATCGGACACGGTATCTTAGGAGTGCTGGTCGCTAGCAGCCCTCGTACCAGTGTAAGTTCCCTCCCAAATTCCAATCCAGCCTCGCCCACTTCGACCCGAATTTGGATATCGTCTCCCTGCGGCCATCCCCGGTTTGTTCCAGCCTCACTTTGATCTTACTTCAACGTCGACGGCGTTTAGTCCCCGGATACCCTGAGGTGACTCCTAGACAATTCTCAGTTTGTCGAGGGGTAATAATCGTATGGAAATGTAGTGGAGAAGATGCAAGAAATTATAGGGGGATGGCAAGTAGAGGCAGTTACAACTCTTAATACTGTGAAACTGTGAGGTGTGAGTGAGGTTGGCAGTTGAAACGGAGTGCCTTGCAAATACCGCATCCGGCTTAGCTTGACTCTCTTCAAACAGCCGGAGCCCGGTGAGCCAACCACGTGCTGGCAATGTTGGCAAGCGGGAATATTATTAGCGTTAACGTTACAGTGGCGCCCTGCGTTTTGGTGGCGGGAGCGGGAAGGCGGAATGTCCAAGCTCCAAGCTTCCCCAGATCTGCAGAGCCGCAACACCAACTTCAATTGCCGTCGCGGTTGCGGGGCGCCTTTGTTCGCTCTTCATCGCACCTCTCCTGCGCGCTTTCGGGCGGGCGTGATTCAGAAAGAGCATCGCTCTTCTACCGACCCCGGTAGCTGCTATGGCAACGATAACGATAACCCATGCGAACGCGATCTAGCGGCTCCACAACCGACAAGCCCACCGAACGACCGACCGCGATTTCGTGCCTTCCCGCGTCAAAGAAAAAAAAGCTCCTTTTGCATTGCAGCGGGTGCGATTCCCATCAGCGGAGCCGCGATCGCTGACACTGGGAGGAACACCTCAGCAGCTGCTATCCAACTAGTCTATTGGGTAAAGACAACTTTGACATTTGATTTCTTTCTACTCTTGAGATTTGTCGCGGCGTGCGAAAGGTAGAAACAAACTGTCTGTTTTTGGTCTCCTGTGGTGTTGATACGGTTATTGTTTGCCATTGGGGTTGGAAGTTTCCCATTGTGCGTATGGCAGTTGTGCCATTGTTGCTCTTGCCCGCGTGGGCGGCATCGTGGTCGCACCTTCCTCGCAACACCCAAAGTCTTCCCTCTTCGCTTTTATCTGCCCCACGTTGTGCCTTCCTTTCTACCACCCCGCCGCGACTTGGTTTTACCCCTCCCCGCGAACTTCGCAAGGCAGTCGCGACCCTTTCTTCTTCTTTCCTCAAACTCCAACAAAGCACACCATCGTCCTCAGGAAACTGAGGAAGCAACGACTGACGATGCCTGCCAAAGCACCAACGCCGCGCACCACGCGCAATAGCCGTGGCTTGCGCCAAAGCCCCGGCGTTTCGTCAGCCGACTCGTGCCTGGGCGATTCCGCCCGAGTTTCTCGCCGTCGCGGCAACCGTGGGACCCCCCCCACCACCAATTTGTAAGTTGAGCAACTGAGTCGCCGATTCTACCCCCAAGATCGTGTGAAAGAGCTCCGAAGGGCAATTTACAGACTGTCACTAACGCTGCTATTAGCGAGCTTGCCCTCGAGGCCGCCGCCGATCCCGCGACTCCAACACCTGGTGCGCGGTTCGCCGAACCAAACCCCCACCCGGCCCATACTCTTGCCCTTGAGGCGATTCCGGAGGAGCAGTCACAACCAACGACTCCCACCCCAACGGCCCGGCCGCCAGTTTTCCCTCCGCCAATCTCTCTCCCACCGACAACCCCATACATTCCCACCTCGCCGCCGAGAACATCACCCCTCGAGCACCCGCGGGTCACCGCGATCAGAAGCACACCCACAAGAACCCCGAGGAGGGCCGCCTCCCCAAGAACCCCCGTCCGGCGCACCCGGTACGTCACCAGATATATCGACGTAACTCCGCTGCAACCCACCGCGCCCGCGCCGAAAAGCCCCGGCAGCGAAACCCGCCTTTTTAAGCAACGGCGTAACGAAGAAGGCGAGGAGAAATTTGCGAGGGAGCTGTGGATCGCAATCCGGAACGACCGTTACATGAAAGAGTGCTGGTGCGGCCCGCCTAACATTTACAACTCGCGAGAGGAGGCAGAAGTCGCGACCGGCCACCTGCGCTTTTACATCGTCGGCTCCGAGGAGAAAAACCTGCGCGTGCTCCAGAAGAAGGACGATTCCAATTGGCACTGCATTTGTGGGAACAACAACTACCACGCAGTCTACAAAAACTTTCTCAATTCCAACGGAAAACGCCCAGCAGAAGACACTGAGATCGGCCTGATCGCGCAAATCCAAGACTCAAACAGCGATAAGAGTGCTCGAAGCATCGAACGAGTTGTACCTGCGCCGATTGACTCGACCCGGCACGAGGAGGAGCACTCGCTGGTCCTCAAAACCGCCCAAGCAGAGGCCCAAACATTCCCTCAGTCGATGTGGGGCAAAGCCTGCGGCATACTAAGCCGTACCGTCGCGACAATGAGCAGCCCCATCGCGGCCATTTACGACACCCTCCAAAAACATTTCTGCGGCGATGCCTACGAGACCCTCGACACCCGCCGGAAAGACGCCGACAGTGAGGCCGTTGTTGTCAAAAGGCTGAAACAACAAGCTCCGGTTTTACCCACGGAACAATCCCCTTCTGAGAATGGAGACGATGGGTTTGACGACCTTGTGTGGCCCGACCTCCCCACTGATCACATCGGTTCAGAAGAGATCCAAGACATCTTCTATTTCATCGGAAACCAATTCCAAGATGTCAAGACGGGCAAGCTTGTCTACGGCTCCTCAGTTGCGGATATAAAGAAGCAAGCTCCAGACACCACGGACTGCCGAGCCAGTATCGCGATTTTTAAGTACCAGGAACTCAGGCACGGACCGGTACTGCCCGGAGAACCCGCCATCAAGAAAAAAGAGAAGTGGATGGAAACGGTGCAAGCCTATCACGACAGCTTGAAAGAGTGCCTCCGTCTCATCCAGGAGATCTACTGCGTCGGCGGCATTCTTGAGGGCCTCAAGAAGAGATATACCGCGCCACCGCGCCGTCTGCCATTGCGGGATATCCATTACAGAAGAGAAGCATTGCTCACGGCAAAGTTTTTGGGTTTCCTGCGGTCACTTGACATCGTGCGGGACATCTCCGATAGCAGCTACGAGACCATCAGCAAGATGATTGTAGATGTTAATGCCATCCACAAGTCAGAAATGCTGCCCAGCTTCGTTGCGCTGAGGCCCGAGGATCCCATCGAAAATATGCCGGGCTTCTTCCCAGAGGACAAGGTTTCGGCCATGGAGGAGATTCCCGCCGACGAATTCGAGTGCGAAGTCCTGTACGAACGCAGATTCCCGGACCCAGAGCCATCCGGCGAGGAAGTGCCGAGCAGACCTGGCGACTACAAAATGGTGCTAGAGCCTAAGGGGATCCTTAAGCCGTCGAAGGTGAGGGATGCCCCGGCCTCGCCGAAGTACGTCGCAACCCCCGAGAAGCACAGGAAGCTCTCCTTCATCAACCCGGTTTCCTTGTTTATCCCTCCCGCACACATTCCAACCAAGGTTATGGCACCACACGAGGCGGATCGTTTTTTGAAGGCGAAGTTGGAGGCAGAAGTCCTTCGCGATGAGCACTCAACCCGCGTATTCGACGCTCTCAAGACAGTCTCTCGGCCGCAAAATGACGGGCCAATCCGCCCCAAAGACAAGTGGAGTCTGGAGGAGCTTGAGAAGGACGACCAAGAGATGGGGCTGACTTACTACGCTCACAAGTACGATGGTTTCTTGAATGACCTCCGTGATGATTTGGAGAAGCGGGTAGAGGCAGACGAGGAAGAACGCACGAAGCGGACGGTCAGGCTCGCTCCACAGCGACACATGGTACAGATTTCGCTTCCGCCTTTACCATCCACTCCCGCAAGGCGTCGACAGGCGGCCCATCTTCTTGAGAATGATACCGGTAGCCCGGCAGGTTCCAGTCCCGGAACCAACCCTCTGCGCACTAAAACGGAGGTGTCCCAACCCAAGCCTGCCGAACAGAAACGTCCCCTTACCTTGGATGAGTTCTTTGCAGAAGATGATGATGATTTGGCAATCTCCGTCGCAAAATTCGAGCAGCTCCAGATTGATCGGCAAATCCGAGATGAATTTGAGATTGGGATCCGTCGAGACGCCGAAGAGAAGCGGAAGCGTGAGGAAGAGGAGGCCCGTCGCCAGGAACAGCGCCGACTCGAAGAAGAGCGTCGACGGCAAGAAGAGGAGCGTCGCCGTGAGCAAGAAGCCCAGAGACAGAGGGAGGCCGAGGAATTTGCTGCGCTCACCGGCTTGAGGCAACCCACTCGTTCTCTCATTGTACCCTTGTCCGACGACTGGAACTGCAAAGTCGTCAACGCCGCGAGAGCGCATCCAACTGCCGAGCTCGTCAAAACCCTCGAGGGCCAGCCGCTTACCAGGCGCGACTTTGAAGAGAAGCTTCTTCCGCCGACCGCGTGGCTAAACGACAACGTTATCATCGGCTCAATCCTGCACGTCGCGGACTATATCAACAAAACGAACGGCACGACAGATCAAGAACCCAAGTGTGCCGCCTTCACATCTTATTTTTGGCCGCGCGTCCTCTCCCATGGCCCAAGTGCCTGCGGCCGCCTCTTGCGGAGGGCCGGTGTTCGCAAAGCGAACTTCCTTGACATTGACACGGTTCTAATCCCCATCTGCGCGCACTCCCACTGGACCCTGGCTGTGATCCGTCCCGGCAAACGGACCGTCGCGCACATCGACTCGATGCGTGGGGGTAGCGGCCACAGTGATGTCAAGGCCAAGCTGCTCGAGCTAGTGGCCTTTATCCTCGAGGACCAGTTCGTCGAGGCCGACTGGCGCGCCATCGACTACGAAGCCCCGCTTCAAACCAACGGGTGGGACTGTGGTGTTTTTACCATTACGAACGCCATGTGCATGGCCATGGGCCTGAACCCGAAATTTTCGTACACCGAGAGCGAACTGACGCTGCAGCGGAGGCGGCTGGCCGCGATGCTGCTCAACGAAGGGTTCAAAGGCGAGTTCAGTCTCGATGGGTTCTGAGTGGGGAATGACACATTCCTCTTTACTCTCGCGGAGCAAGCGAACCGAGATTGAAAACAGCCTCTACGCGAATCGCAAGTCAGAGGTCCCCCGAGCGTGTCAGACAAGCAGCGCCAGATTCCAGAACCTACTTCCATCTGGAGCAGGACGACGTATCGACATACCTACAGACGACGTCTTCATGAATACAACTATTCATGACCTCTCAGCACTCAAATCACCTTTCAAGGGAGCGAAGCGCGATATCTACCACTGGGCGACTTGCTCCCACATGGCAAAGTGATGGGAAGTTTCAACTCAAACCACGCGTTGCTCTTTGCCCGATCATCATTCCGAACCAGCGGTGGGCGGCGTTAGATTCGGAAGCCGACACTTCATTACGGCATCACGAAGGATAGAACAATAACTCGAGGCCGAGTCCTGGACAGACGGCCCCTTTATGACCACCATCTAAAATCGACAACGGCTACAATCACACCTCAAAACCCACTTACCCACGCTTCAAAATACGGCATTCTCGAAAACAAAACAGGGGACAACGATTCTTTCTCACACGGTCGTGTCCAGTGTAATATTCACATTCCATTTCAGATCATACGGCTTCATGGCAACGAGCGGGCGGCGTTCAAGCATTGCGGAATGGGGGCTTGCATTCTCGGCGCGCTTTCACATCAAAATCAGGCATGGGGCTTCAACCGGAAAGGAAAGGGGAGGGCAAAACGGTGCAGGCGGCAGGTTGGCTTTATGGAGCACATTCCCCATGGTGTTTCGCGGGCGCACTACTTTGGGCATTGCTTCTGTTGCTAGCTGTCTAGCTGGCCGGATTTGGGCATGCATGGATGGTATCCATGGCGGGTTTGGCGAGGAGTGGGGTGGGAGATCCAGGGGTGATGTTTGCCCACGGGCAACCTGTCCTGGCCGGGTTGGCGGGAGGGATAATAGGGCCATGAATCGAGTGCCAGTCTCGTCATGTATGTTTGGTTGATTTGGTTCTCTCATATGGGTCGGCTGGGTGGCTTCAGATCTTTTTATTTTCGGGGCGTTTCTTTCTTCTACGGCCTATTGTGGACCTGTTGATACCCCTGGTGGCGAACCAGTGTTTGGGTTTTCTTGGGCTCTGAAAGAGCTGGTTGGGCTGGGTGGATGGATGAGGCTACTGCCCTTGATATCTGGTGCTTTTTTGGGGACTTTGTTGAGTTGAAAGATAGAGGAATACAGCGGGTTGGCTGAGGCCTCCTTGTCACTGTTACTGTGATGATGGGTGCTGCTGTGCGACGGGAGTTAGAAGTAAGAGAGGGTAAAGGTAAAGACAGGATCTGAGACCTGGTCATGCGGTTGACGAAAAGTGACATCGACAATATCGCTGCCTGCTAGGGCCGTCGCCTTCTTCTCACCTCAACCATCTCGACAATCCATTTGACTCCTAAAATGGGCGCCTAAGTTCAACTGACACATCTCCCCCGATAGCGTCCACACCATTCCCTCTTCTCTACCTAGGTAGCCAGGCTGCCAGGTAACCAGGTAGCCTTGACCCCCCCCCTCCCCATCAGACGCAGCAGCCACCGTCATCACTTGCCACACACATTACCTAAAATGACATACGCAACAGACACAGTGGCACATCAACCAAGCCGCACCCACGCAGAACCGGGACGGCGCCATCGCACGTGGCCAGCCGTGTCGGATCTGATCCCTACCTTCTCCTCCCCCTCCCTCCTCAGGCCATGATCGTCCGCCGTTACGCAAAGGCGAGGCAAAGGCAAAAAAGGAAAGCTTGCCGATCCGTGGCGGGCGTGCCGAAAGGGGAAGGGAGTTGGAAAACGTGGGGTTGGTGTTTTGCGGGCGGACGCCTCGGGAGTTGCTGCTTGGGGTGCTTGGGTCGATGGAACATGGCACCATGGGACATGGAATAGTTTACTGTGTATGGGATATGGCCCGCTGCTTGGTTCGTTCGCGAGTTCGTTTGTTCGTTCGAGAGCCGATCGACGCGGCGACTTGCTTGTTGGGGGAAGGCCGTGGTTACATTGTTGCCCCTCCCCTTCCCCCCGTCTGCCATGCGGTTTGGGCCGCGTCTTGCTTGGTCTGACGTTTTAAAAAGTTCGAGGCCCTGTGTTTGGGTTGTGTGCCATTGCTGGTTTAGGGGTTTGGGTTTTGAGGTCGCTGAGGGTTCCCTGGGATGTGAGTAAGAAGTATTGGGCTAATGGGTTCAAGGGGTTGTGGCCGCGGAGCACTCGGCTTCTTGAGGTGTTGTGTTCGTCTGAGGGACGCATATGGCCGCGTCGGTCCTTCTCACCGACCGAAAAAGGCTCTCTGGAACGATGAAATGAACAACTGAGCTCGTGCCCCTGAACTCGAAGGCATGAGGGGTATCAACCGAGTCGGTTTCGGCTGCGAGCATCAACACCGTTTTGGTAATCTCAATTGGTGGATAAACGGCATCTCCAAGGGCCAGGGGACAGACAGCAGAACCAGAGAGATGGGCGAATGGTCCTCCCGATCCCTTACGGGTAGGGGTCAAAGCCCAGCTGGTCCAGGGCCCATCTTAGGGTCGACCCTGTCGACGGGTCGTTTTGAGCAAGAGACGCGGATCCGGGTCATCAAGAAGCACCCTGAGGCGGAGAAGGAGCTCATGGGTATCGGAGGGAGGGACTGTACCATGGAACGCGTGCCAATAAACACCGCCTCTCTCGTGTACGCCTGGGAGATGGAAAAGGAGGTCAACAAACCCCTGGACACCGCCTGGCGATGGAGGTTCTCTTGCCCCGGTGTATGAAGCGGTGTGGTCAGCATTCGACAAAATACGATCATACGATGATACGATGAGACGGTGAGAGTATTGATGCCAGCGGCCCATGTCTCTTATGGAGTTATGTCGAATCTCATCATCTCATCATGGAGGAGGACGGCGTTTCTCAACGACCTGGCGTCATCACGACAAGACCACCCCGGGACCTGCATCGAGTGATCGAGTGATCGCCAGCGTCTTTACGGGGCTCAACAGCACCGTTTCATTCGCAATGAAATGCCCCAGTCGGCACATCATGACGGATCTCCATACTCGTCGACAAGACCCAGTCATGGTCAAGGTCCATGTCACATCGCGCCCTGGTCGAGTCCGACGAAATTCCCTTCTTCAGGTCCCATGCTTGCCATGCTGGTTAATACCGAGGCATCGCAGGCCTTATCTCAACTCTTAACTCCTCATAAAGCACTATGACTGCTTGATTTGTCACCAAACCTAAGTCTCGGAGAACGACAACCGGCCGAGTAAAGAAACCACGGTCCTTTCTCACAACATCGGGAATGACCCTGACCAATGCAACGCGACGGCGCCACTCGGGGGTTCAGCATTGATTCAGACACTTGGTACGATGCATACCAAGTATGTAGTGTAGTTGCAGCCGTCCACAATAGCAACCACCCACGTGTCGCATCAGCCCGCTTGCCCGCTTGCCCGTCTGCCGCTCCTCGAGCCGCGCCAACCCAAGACATCCAAGACACCCAACCGCTCGGTGCGGTGCCCACTTCGAGAAGTGGTCTGTTCGCGGCGATGGCACCGCTCCCCCACGAAGAGACCCCCCTTTCCCCCCTTCCCACTACCCTCCCCCACCCCTTAACCAAGAACGACGAAGAACAAGAACACAAGAAGAAGAACCTTGTTCCGGCCCCGGTCTCGGACACGGCGAAACCCCGGATGTCGAGAATGCGGACCCCGTTCTGGAAAAGATCCAGTCGGTCGCGTGTTCCCCTTGCTTTGATCCGTTTTCCCAGCGTTGCAGTGAACCAACAAGACGCAGACGGACAACAAACCACGCGCGCTGCCCCCGGATGAACATCGGCAATGTGAAGAAATGACCCCCAAACCAAACTAACACTTCCGCAGTTGGCTAAATTCCCATGTCGCCTGTTGTCATCTCGTAGTCCACAGTATGCCACCACCGTCGTCTGCTGGTGTCCGGCTGAAAACAAACCCCAACAACCCAAACATCCCCTCCCCCCCCTGCCTACCAACTAACTCAAATAGCTGGCGTCGTCTGTCCGTCCACCCCGCCCACATCCCGTCCCAACAACGGCAACCCCCTAAAAACGGTCGCAAACAAACGGGGGTTGATCCATCCATCCCCCCACGTCCCGTCAGTCTCAGATTGACGAGCGGCGGATCCCACCCTGCTCCCTCTTCCCCCCCCTCCCCCCAGCCCAGCCAGCCCTTGGTTTTTTCTTTACTCCGCCCTTCTTTGAGTGCCCGTTTGTGGTTTGGTTGAGGTGGAGTAGCTTGGTCCGGGCTAGGTCGCATTCAATTTCGTTCGCCTCGGCAAGTCCCATGGGGGATCTGCCTGCCAGGAGGGTTAGTGTGGTTATGGGATGTGTGTATGCGGTTTAGTGCCGGTGCCGGTGCCAGTGCCAGTGTGCTGCTGCCCGCTACCCTGCTGCTCTGGACGGAGACTTTGCCGGGCGCTGTGAGTGGCTCGGATAACTCCTTTTGCTGAACGCTTTCTTGGACCGGAAAGGAAAAACTACGGAATCAGGGAATGATAGCTACGCGACGAGTTACTGTAGGGACTACTGGATGGATCATGTGGCAGCAAGAGAACAAAGTACGTAACCATTATGCTCTATAATCCACAATGTTTCGTTTCCTTTTGTTTGAGCACTCTCTTTCCGGACTGCCAGATGACCTTGGTTTCATTCCTCTCCACATTTGTTGCTGAAGTCGGACCTTCTTGCCAGCCTGACAGCCTTCTCTCTAGTGCCTGGGGTGAGGGGGGCAACAACACGATCTTCACAAACGGCGGGGATAAGGGAAGATCGAGTTCGGCGACAAGCACTGCCCCGGGTATTTTGGCCTGTGTCCACATGGTCTGGTGGAGTGAGAGGGCCACCGACTGTTAAGACCGAGGGCGGTCTGATGAGAAGAGAATGTTTTCCAGTTGCTGGGTGAAGGGGCAATAACGTTAACTAGACGACTGGACGAACGGTCAACCCCGGCCGCCGACCGTTTCGGTTATTTGTTTGCTCGCTCATGAAGCATGACCCGGAATAGGGAAACCCATGGGTAGGCGGTAGCGGGCAGCGACAACGGCAGCTTCACGGCCCACATCGCGGCGACGGCGGGCCTTGAATAGTCGTATCACCAAGCCGAGAACGGCCATCTGATTGGGTCTATTAGGCAATAGTTGTGCAAGTCGAACCATGAAGGGCGACGTTTTGGGCTGGCAGGATCTCAACGCAGCCATTGATTGGGAAGGGAGGGTATCGCATACGCCATGGGAGACCGTGGCAAGTTGATGTATTCGCTCGCGGATTGGTTTCGGTTTCGGCGGATTGATGTTCGCCATCACATACGGAGGTTACAGGCAAAAGTTTTCAAAGTGGGTCAGGTACTGGCAAGGGTTATGGGCAGGGGCCAAGCAAAGCCCTCGAAGTACCTCCTCTCAAGCTCCTGTTACCAGAGCGCATCGCGCGCAGCAGTCAATTCAGAAAGGAATATGCATTCCGTTGGCATCAATAACTGCCTGCTGCCGTATAGGCATTGTATCTACACGCTCTCTAAGGATTTCCTCGGGGATTGCTTCCCACGCGCGTAACGTTTAAAGCCGGCTTGACGGAGGGCGTAGCGGATCGCATACTCTGAACAGTCCCAGCCTAGAGCAGCAGGGATTTTGGAGTAGGGCATTCGGCGAGTAGCTTTCGAGGAAGTGATGAACGCAATCAAATCTTCAATCTGTTCTGGATTGAGAAGGCCGGGCCGACCAGAGCGTTTCTTTGGCGTGATGTTTGGGGCGCGGCAGGCATGTCCCGACCTGGTTTGTAGGTAAAGCCGAGTTGCGCGACGATTTGCTCGTATGTAAAACCCACATTTTGCGGAGAGTCTGAACTTGAAAGCCGCTTCATCGCGAGAGAGATGGGGCCGCTCTTAGAATGAATGGCCTCCGGCGGCGTAGAAGGGGAGCTCTGAAGACATCGCCGAAGCTGGTGAATGTTTGAATTGACTGGCTGCCGCGCGACGCCGCTCTGGGCAAACAGGAGGTACTTTCGAGGGCTTTGCTTGGGCCCCTGGCCCATTAACCCTTGCCCAGTACCTGGACCCACCTTTGGAAAACTTTTTGCCTGTAACCTCCGTAGGCGGCTATGTGGGCCAACTGAAAACTGAAAGACCACGTGCTGTGCGGCTCAAGGGCGTTTGGCCAAGCTTGTTGGGAAAAATCTCATCAGGATCTTTACAAGTTGGAAAAGGAAGGAACGGTGGTCGGCCCGGTGGGGTCCATGGTGGTATGGTGGCCAAAGGGGATCTCCGTGAAGCTCGGCTTGAACCGAAAAAGTCCAGGCTGTTGTGTTCGGATGCACATCCTTTTTCGTCTTCGCTCCCTCGCTCCCAACGGCAAGGAGCGGGATCAACCTTGAAAGGGTTTGACCAACTGTCCTGCTTCCGGTCTTCCTTGGCTCGGAGCTGAGAAAAGAGCAAACGAGCGCCAAAAGAAGGCAACGAGGCCGGATACTTTCAGCTGGCACGCCTCGTTTCGCCGTGGCGCGAAGTGGATAAACTCGGTCAGCCCATTAATAAAGAGGTGGTACTTTTCCCACCAACACAACGAGGTTCTGGAGCTTGGCGAGTGGAGTTGACAGGTCACCTTGACGGAAAATATTCTCGGGGAAGAGTGCTGGCATCAATGAAACGACGAGACTTTTTCCAGAATTTGGCCGATGCAGGCAATTTCTGCGCGAAGGCGTCCATGGCGTCCACGACGTCCACGGCATCCCCGTTCGGACGAGAAGAAAAAAAACACGAAAACGCACGAATTTGTGGGTCGTCACAAAGAAAAGTGGTTTGTTTTGGTGGTTTCGTCGGATGTCATCCCTCAGTCGTTTTTTGAAAAAATTCTAGAAATCTGATGGAAGACTGCTCGACCACTCGCGCCTCCTGCCCAGTCTGGTCCCTCGGGCGCGGCATCTCCGTCGCAAAGTTGCAACGTGCCATGAGACGGAATCTTCCACAGGACCATGCACGAAGATTCGCTGCATCGGGCGCTGCCCTGGAACCCGCGCTGCAGGACGGCACAGCATGCAACCACACCAACTTCCGCGCTTGGCCCACGCAAGCACCCGCCGAGGGAAAGCTTCTAGAAGCCTTCTCTTGCAGATTGAGAGCTTCTTCCGCCTTACCCGATCTGGATGGTGACAGCGATATCTTATGCAATGACCAAGAGGAAGGATGACAGGGTGGTTGGGGGAAGTGCTCGGCGGGATCGATTTGTGATGATCGAAGACGGCATGCTGAAGCGAGACCCGCTTCGCGCCGTTGTCTTCGATTTCCTCTGCAGTTGCGCCGCACGCTGGCAGATGTGGCGAACCACACAACCGCGGTGCTGGGAGAGAGTTATGATGTGTTCCATTGTGTGTGTGTGTGTGTGTGTGTGTTCATAACGGTGTACGAAATAATAATAATGCATGTACTGTAGGGGGTGGTCGATCATCCTCTCATCGCGATCGGGAGTCGTGGTCATCATGGAATGTTCTCTGCAGATGCCCGATCGGGCTCTCACGACTTACCGTCATCCGCCTCTCCCCCGCCCCATCGCTGCAATTCTCCGTATGCGGTGCTCGTACTCTGTGCGGTTGCCTGTTGTCCCATTGAGCCATTTCTAACGAGGCATTCGTCGCTTACCGGAGCAGTCGGCCCTGCGAGCCCTGCTGAGCCCGCCCAACGGTGTGGCAAAGGAGCAAACAGACGCGCCTTTCGCTAGGATGATGCCGTCCCGCGCAAAATTCAAACCCGGGTGGTGACTGTGATGTGATAGGTGCTGTGGCTCTGTGGGCATGGGTTTTCTTTTCGGCCAAGGGTCACTCGCTGCTGACCTCCCTGTGCCTCCCTCTGACGTTGTACTGTGTGGCCGGAGCCCGCGTCGTGGACCCGGTCGGTCGGTCGCCGCCGCAATTGTCTGGACAAGAGGTGCGGCTTGTTTCCGTCCTCGTCTGTTTAAGTCCGGGAGGTTACGGGATCCTTACTCGGCCTGCCGCCAATTGGCACAACGGCACAATACCAACCGTCTTTTGTTGGCCACCGTTATGACCAAAGAATCGGGCGGTTACTTGATGACGTCTGGTCGGAGGGTTATATCCACCTCCCGGGAATGCACCAGCCAAGACATAACTAACCTCCTAACCTTATCTTTGTTTCGTTACCGAGTTACGAATAGTTAATGCGTAAAATGACCGGTTTTGACTGCCGGCTCCGATGGCGGCCTCGAGTTGTCTCACTTTGCGGTCTTGGGGCTTGAAGATGACATGGGCGGGCTGCTCCGTGCGTTGAATCGATGTCCAGCAGAAGCCCCCCGAAAGAATGCGGGCCGGAGATTAAGTACGTAACAGATCCCCAGGCCTGGAATGGTGGCGTTCCACTTCCTTCACTTCTCCCGAGCCATATTCGCGCGCACACAGTTTTCGAACAGTGAATGCTCAGTTTATTGTGCAGTAACTGGCATATTCATATGGCGTGGCGTCGACATGAGCCGAATGCAAGTTGCCCAAAGTGGAACTCGCCGGACGAGTGCGCGGTTGAAGTGGTGTCCCCCTTGTTAATCAGAGTTCAAACGGTATGCCCGTGATTCCGGGGTGCTCCCGGAGCCCTCGAGGGTCTGAAGATTGCCAACCACGGCGGCTCCGGGCCTGCCTGGGTTACACAAAACGGCCGAAACACGGCGGGTTAAAATAGCTAATTAGTTTAAAGTATTTTAAAAGACCAAAACGTCATGAAGGTCTCTCACAATTGCCCCTCTCAGCCTCACAGCCTCGAACAAGGTTTGTACTAGTTAGCTTCGGACGGCAGCCGGAATGGCGATCATGGCGGCCTGATCTCCCATACCTACGTTTCGCACCGCGGCTGCGACCGATGGCCACGGCCTGGTTGGCCCAAGTCGAGTTATTCGTATGTAGCCAGAAGCGAAGGCATGGGGCCGAATCATTCAATGTTCTGGAACATTGGAAGAAACTTCAAGACTCTGGGGAATGGCGTGTCGGTGCTCCCACCCAGCGCTGGACTGGGAATTGCTCTGTCTCATTTTCACCGCATCGGAGACCGTGTGGAAAGGCAACGAGACGAACGGTCGAAGCCGCAGTCCCATTCTTTCGGGTTCCGTTCCAGCGACCCCGGTTTTTGTGCGAGTTGGTTCCGTTCTCGACCATGGGCCTCGCCAAGTGCTGCGCTGATTGGTGTGGAGTTGCAAACTGCCGAGGAGCTCGACGTGTGACAGGGAGCTGCAGTTATCGGTGGTCCATGCGTTACGTATTCGGAAACCTGAAAGGGGACAGTTCACGATGATTTCGGCGGCCTGGTCGTTCGGCTCTTCCACCGTTTGTGTTGTATTTTTCCCTCCGTTTTTCGGGTGGCGTACGAACACTTTCAGTGTTTTTTTTTGTGTTTTTTTTTTTCGCCGAGGGCGGTGATGCGGTCAACCGCCACACGTGCTCACCACTCTGGCACTTGGCTTCTGGATTTGCACCTCTTGGGCCGGATGCACGAGTCGTACTGCAGGGACGAACAGGAGCCAATGTGGAGAGGGCGGATCCGATCCCTGCCGGTTCGGCGTGCTCGGCCAGGGTCCTTGCCAAGGGGGGCCCGAGCAACCAAGCCATGTGGAGTGCACAGAGCTCTCCGTCAGCCGAAGCCAGCACCAAGACCATTTTGGACAAGTTCAGTCGCAGCGGTTTTCAGAAAGAGCCGCGCCTTGCGGACAGGCCGTGCGTTCGTGCCGAGCTTGGTAATTGATGAATCAATCGTCAGAACGAACATGTCAGCGTTGTGCTGGGAGCTGCATCCTCTCCGGCGACGACGACCGCTCTGATATGACGAATCACCCACAAAAAAACCAAATAAAAACCGCAAAAGGGCCCGTCGAAACAAGCGCAAGCGGTGGAGAGGCCGGAGAGGTCTCGAATATTCTCCCCACCGCCATCGTCGTGTGACGTAAATTCCGGACACAGCCGCCTGTCGAACGTGTCACGCCATGCCCACGCCATCTTGGTGGTTGATGGTTGATGGCGAAAATAACGAAGCAATTCAATAAATGATCTGATACGGGTGCAGCAGATAGTGCAGGATGGCGCGTGCGTGGTAACCAGGTAGTTAATTACTGCGTATTTCGATGCCGGCTCTCGTGTCGTGGAAAAGGCGATGGAATCGCGAGCTGGGCCGCATTTGCACTGCATTGCGTGTGGAAGTATTGATCGGAGCAGTTGCTCGGTGACACATCGCCAATCAATTCCGTCGTGCGATCGCCATGCGAAGGGACGTCGAACGATGACCGCAGCCAAGGCAGCACTGATTGGGCCGCACAACATGGGACGCAATCCAACCATGGATGAAGAAGGCTTCCAGAAGCCTACCCTGCGGGACTGGATGGATGGGGCGTTCAATGGGTCAGGGCGCCCCACTCTTGGCGCACCTCCGTGTTCTTCATTTCCTCCGCCCGAAAAACATCCAGGGATGTGTGTGCCACCACGCGCGCCAGGGATGGCCAGCCTCCCAGCACGGCTCCACGGCTCCCACGGCCAGCACCCAAAGGATGCGCCAGAGGCTTCTCACCGTCGCCAAATTTTCCTGTCCAGGCCTCCCCGTCGCGCTAACCCGCGCAGATGGGCATGACAGGGCAAATATGGATGGGATCAGTCTCTTTCCCTGTTAGCTTGTGGAGTCGCTCAACTCCGTTTTTCTTCTTTTTCATGGTTGTCGACTTGGCCACGAGCTCGCGGAACGACCTGGATCGTGGCCAGCTAGCTGCTTCGTACCCGGACCGCTGGGTGAGTTATCGTGAGCGGTCTGCTTGAATGGCTTGGCTGCTTGGGGTGGGAATGACGAGGCAATAGGCGAAAACTAGGGCACTCGGCGGTGGAGGAGTCGCCAGTAACTACCACAGTATGTGCACGAGCTAGTTGGCTAAATCTGGTGCCAGGGTGTCGTTGACGAGACCCTCTAAAAAAACGCTGGATCCAAGCTTGGCCGTGTCGATGGGTCTTCAACGTTGTGTTGCCGTTTTGCTCCCGGTCCAGGGGTCTGGCAGAATAAACCCGTGCTGGGCACCTGGGGCTGTCGCTCTTACCCAGGCTCGTCAGGGTATTATTCCCGTACCCTCCCCGGCCCCTTCCCAATCCCTGTCCGCCCTGCCCCTCCCCCCCGGGCGTCCTGCTCCCTTCGTCGAACCTTCTAAAAGACAGCCTGCCGCGTACCGTGCTTTGTCCGATTTCCCTTTTGATCTCCTTTCTCCTCAACCCCCCCAAAACCACCAATCCAAAGCGTCCGACCACCCGCTCCTCCATCTCGCCCCTCAACCGAACAGTCGGGTCGACTCCTCTTTGACGGACCAACTGCTCCTTTTTCGCC